ACACCGCGGAAAGGTCGTTGGCCCGCACCTGAGCAAATCGGAGGCCAGGCATGTGATGCCGCATTATGGATAAAGACGCTTCAACAAGCAAAACAAAATGCAGGATGTCACAAAAATAAAATAAAAAAAAGTTTTTTTTTTTTTGTTTTTTTTTATTGCAAAAATAAAATATGTATTGCCGAACGCTAGTTTTCCGCCCAAATGTAGCCTTAGAGATCCGAAGCAGATGCCAAAGTTTCAGCACGAACCGATATCTTATTCAAAAGTTATAAGTGATTTTCTGAAAATTTCAATGGGAAAACTTTGTTATCTGGGTTCGGGTCCCTAGTTTGGGTGGTGAATGAGCGCTCAGCGATGCGTAGTTATTTCTGCTGTGGGGAAGAAAAAAAGTGTTTTTGTTAAGGAGAGGGGGGAGGGGGGGCGGGGGGGGGGGGGGGACACTGAATATCAAAGGAAGAAGGAGAGAGAGAAGGGGAGAGAAGTTTACAAAAGAAAGCCCGTTGCTCCCTTGCACCAAGTTTCGAGGTCTTGCTGCTCTAAAGCTAGTACATCTGACAAAGTACAGTCTACAGACACAGTAGCGAGTTTTAGTAGACAGTGTTTCCCGCTAAAAAGCCCCTCCGCTACCCGGAACTCTACAGCCAAGGCCATCGGCGCGCAGGCGCAGATGCGGCTTCTTCGTAGCGGAGGGCTAGCGGAGCGGGAAACACGGTCTACTAAAACTCCCCAGTATGAAAGGGGTGTCAAAACAGGATACTTCAGAACGCGTGAGGCGGCATTTCTCTGCCACATGAAGTGAAAGTTGAGGTCCGGCAGTCCGTCTTCTGTTCAGACACTGACCAGGCAAACATCAAGGCCTTCTTCCTCGCCTCCTCCGCTTTCCTGTGACCCCGGTGCTAGTCAGACTTGACGTCACACGCCACCTGCCAATGGTGTGCCTGTCCATCTGTTCTGCCGCGCCCCTTCCCGTTTTCGGGACTTGAGCAGCAGCGGAGGCCTCGAGCGATTCACAGGAAGCCGACAGAGCGTGTGAGTGGCTGTCCGGACGCACGCGATGAGCATATGCTCGGGTCTCCGTGAAGGACAGAAGCGAACGTGGCTAAGGAAAGCATTTCCACCGCCCAAGGATGGAAGGAAGGGGATCGCCGCACTTCATATGGCGGAGAAGTTTCGCTTCAAGCGTCCTTGAAGTGTCCTGCTTAGACAGCCCTTGAAGCGCCGTTCACACTCTTGCGAGTGTGAAAATGCTTAAGACTAAAGAGACCAGACCGGTTTTTAAGCCTTTTGCGACTTCTTAGGACCGGATGCGCTCCAGCGGAGCTGGTCCTAAGAAATCGCAAGAGGCTTAAAAACTGGTCTGGTCTCTCTCGGTCTTACTCGGTCGCAAGAGTGTAAAGAGCGTGTCCTTTTTTTTTTTTTTGTATGACGATTTTGTCACATGGAGACAGCTCAATAATAATAAAACAAACAAAAATATTTCCTGAGACCGGACTTGCAAACGTGTATAACACGTTTGCAAGTCCGGTCTCATGGCGCCGCCATCTTCCTCAGTGGGGTGCGCTCTTGGGCGCGGCCATAATCCGATTACGACGCCTTAGCTAGGCTTCGTAATCGGATTATGACTCGTCCGAGCGCACCCCAGCCAAGCAAGATGGCAGCGCCCTGAAGCCGTACTTGCAAACGTGTATACGCAGCACGACTTGGCGTCGGCGCGGTGGCGTGAATTTCGTCCACCGTTTTGTTGTTTTTAGCTGCCTGGCGTGCGCTAAAGGCGGACATTCCAAGGATTTACATGACCCATCAAATGCGTAGTACACAACAGCTTGTAAGTGTCACCACGCTGACATCTGATCAAGATGTCGCAATATAATCCTAACAAAAGTGGCGGATGGAATTCATGTGAAAACACCCTACACCATGGAACGCAAAGGACGCTACGAGGGTGTCAGTGCCCTTCCGTTTGGGCGGTGCGACGCGGGGAGCGCGAAATCATGTGACAAGACGCGAGCTATGGATTGGCGTGGATAGCTGGTAGCGTCTATATCGTTGAACACCATAAGGTGGAACGGAGTATATCTGTCTATGCCAAGAGGCTAAAAGCTATTTGTGTGTGTGTGTGTTTTCTTGCTGCAAAGCAATATTCCTCAAGAAAAAAAAACGAACACAAGCATCAAAGTTTTAGAAAATGTCGACAGCTGTCGGAGTGTGTTCCGCGATGGCAAAATCTGGAGGTGCCAAGAGGCGAAGCCTCGACGAGCGTGACCGTCACTGGCGTCGGTCACCAATCGCCCGGACAGCCCAGAACCGTAAACGCCGCTTAAAGTTTTTTTTTTTTTTTTTTTTGCGTGTTTTAAAAGCAGCATGTCATCCGCTTTCTTCTATCTCCTTTTTTTCTATTAGACATCTTTAAACCGCCCTCCACTGCCTCTGTTTTCTTGAACTCGGTCGTTCGGGCAGGACGTTCGGGCGTGCGGAATGGGCAGTTTGTGAATACGGTGCGGTGCGTGCGTGCTACCGTCGCGGTGTCACTGTGCGTGCCGGTCAACGTTACTATACTCCATTTCACCTTATGTTGTACCGCAGACAAGGCTAGAAGCACGAGCTCATAGCGTTGGGAGTTTCTCTGAACGCACGGGAGCTTGTGCCGCCTTGACGTGCCCCAGAGCAAGGAGCTCGCGCTTGTAGCCTTTTCTGCGGTACATCATAAGGTGAAAGAGAGTATATACTTCGTTTCAGCTTAAGTCCAGACGCAGCCAATGCTACAAGCGCGAGCATATGGCCCTGAACAGTGCCTGTACTGCACGAGCGCTCGTGCTTGGCGGAAGCTGAAAGCCCGGAGCTCGCGCTTGTAGCATCGGAGTATTCACTGGCGGCCATAGCTGTGTGCGCGAATGCTGAGCGCGTGCTGACGGTGAGCTTCCACAGTTCTTTTGCAACGTGCATTCTGCACCATCAAGAAGGCCGGTCTTAGCAGCCTCGTTCTGAGCATGCGCTCTAAACAGCACCCACAAATATGGCGTCCATTGAATACTCCCTATAGAACCCTCTGTCGGGAAACTCACCGTTGCAACCTGGGCCACTGGCGTCCACCGAGGCCGAGCTAAATACGACTACAGCGCCACTCTTTATCGTTTGTCTGTACTGTCGTCACCTTGAGCTTTTAGAAAACATATTTTTGCGTAAAAATGAACGGAAAAAACGGTTTCTGTAGTAACTTTTATTGGAGTTTAGTACAAAATGAAGGGCGCATGGTGTTTTCTAAAATCTTTAGTTTGCAAACGTTTTGCAGCACAATATTGTTTTTATACAACCATGCCTCAGCGGTGATTTCAGGTAGCGCGTCCCGACCTAGGCGCATCTTAATTAACTTCGGTAGTAATACGCGGCGCGTCCGCTTGGGAGATGGGCCCAAAATGGCCGATTAAAGCCAAGGTAGTAGGTAGCACAACTTTACTGAGCGCAGTGCATACAGGGGCTAGGCTCATCTGCCCGCCTAACTATACAACACAAGGGCTCGACAGTAGGAAGGGAAAAGGGGATGGGCATTTATGGGAAGTAAAGGTAAGGTTGCGTTACAATTGGGCGCGCCTCTTGCGGAGTTCGTCTTGAAGGTGGCAAACAACTTGTTTTGTTCGGTCTATTAGGAGCAGCTGGATGCGCAGTTCATCTTACTGTAGAAGGGACGTCCAGTGAGGAACGATGTCTTCTCCTCGGTCATCGAGGTGCCTTTGGAGTTCCTTTGGGGGTCTGAAACTTCGGGCATGACCAAAACATATGTCCGATCGTGCCATCCGGGGGTGGGTCTTCGGAACCACAGCATCTCGTACAGGACCCATCGAAGATTAGGGGGTGAAAATAAATAGGAGTCACGTGCAGTTCCTCGTGTCGCCGCTGCGGGAGAAATGGCGGCGTTGTGATCGCCATTAGCTCGGTTCTCGAGTACGGATCGGAGCAATCGGAGCCACTTTTTCAGGGCAGTCTCTATGGCAATTTCCCAACTGAGTGGTTTTAGTAACTTGGCACCGGTTGATTGACTTCACATGTAAGTACTGCGCTTTGGTACTGTGTCTGAGCACCTGTATGACCGCTAAATTGGCTTAGATCGGTGTTTGCGATAAAAAGTCAATATCGCAAAACGAAATTAAAGCATAGATATGTTTTGTTCTCGTTTCCGCAGCGCAGCTATATATATATATATATATATATATATATATATATATATGACGCAGTGTTGAACACCTAGGGAAGATGGGGCACTTCTACATTTGAGAAAAAACGCTTGAATTGCGTTCATTTGGCCTTTAGATTAACAGATATCATAATTGTATTTCAATGCGACGCGCCGGAGAGCCATACGAGCAATTTCAAAATAGGACTGAAGCCCCGCCTCCCTAGCCTTGGGCAAGCAAAAGAGCCGTCTATGACGTCACGGACAGCGACTGTCTTTCGCGTTTTTCTCGCGTTTAACAATACTTACGCAGCAAATGGTTTGGGTATTCGGGTTCACGGGGTAAAAATACACTAGAATTCACTTCTAACTCATTTTTTCCAAGAAGCTCCGTAGCTTCCCTTTAATTAATTGGACGCATTTTGTTGCTAAACTAAAACGGAACTAAGGAAACTTTTTTTCTAGAAATTACTTAAATTTATGTGAAGCGAAACTGAGATAAAAACAGGAACGTGGGCTTATCGGAGTAGCTTTGAGCCCTGTACCATGACCACCTTTACATTGTTGCGTCTCGCATATGACCACTTAGTTTCGGTTCCTAAATTTGGCTAATAATAAAAAAAGGAAAAAAAATCCTATAGTGTAAATAATGCCATAGTTTATTTTATATAAACATTTAACGTAAAAAAGTATTGATTCAATGTTCAATTCAACTTAAAGTGTCCAATTTATTAACACACTTAATTTATTTGCTTGTTTTTAATCCGAGAAGGGTAGTTATACGAAACTACTGCCGAACGTTGCTTATCGCAACGCGGCTGTATTAGCACGCTCAAGAAGAAGAGAAATATGATCCGGGTTCCGACCTGAGTGCCTTCGCGTAACTTCGAAAAAAATAAATAACAAGGCACGTTTCTTTTTTTGTTTGCGAACTGATGGAGGTCGCCGAAGCCCGAACGTCTCCCATCTGACCGAACTCAACCCCAAACCGGGACTTGTCAACACCGTCCTTCGCCGTCTTCAAACACCAACGTCCGGTCTGACACTCGGTATGTGCTATCTTCGCCACCGGTCACTCGTATCTCTCTAATTTTTTCGACATTCATCTTAAATTTCAAGCGAAAGACAGCGACTAAGCTTGAGCTGCAAGAAGTGGTTCTTAGACTACAATACCGAAGCATGATTTGACGCCGTAGTTTCTGAAAAGCCGCGTCCTTTTGCCAAACCTAATTTGAAGGATGCAGTCCACTGTTGAAGCGGTCCTCCAGATACTGGTTCTCGCTTTGGACTAGGCTTTCAAGTTGCGTTCAAAAACTATCTGTGTTATACGTTGGTAGCGGCATTTAGGCCTTCGGCTTCTTTTACAAGCCGACGGCAAGTTTACATGTGCTCTGCGACGAAAGTCGGAGGGCACTTCTTTTTTTTTTTTTTTCTAACTTTAGGATATTGCAAATGTCACCGACGTACCTAAGCCGAAGTGACAGAAGTTTCAGAACGTAAACTCGAAAACGATGCCGTGTTTATCTTAATCGAGAACTACGTCGAGGCAAAACGAAGAGCGTGCTTGTTGTCATGTTTGTGGATGAACTGAAGAATTAAACGCATTGCGTAACTGCGTGGCGGTAGTTGAATCAAGACACCTCTGTTCGTCGCATTGCTTTGTAAAAAGAACGTCCGGGCAGGACGTTATTTTTTAAATATGTCTCTTTCTGCGCTGAAATTGTAAAGAAAATGGGATATCGTATACGAGGTTCGAAAAACACACGAAAGGCGACCAATGCATGGAGGTCTTTTTATTAGACTTCAGACCCTCTAGAACGGTGCTTCTCAACCACTGGTGTTTCGCGGACCCATCTGGATCAGTGAAAGTGATGGGGACCCCCCGCCGGGGATGAGGGTGGATAATAGACGATTACAATGGACAAGGGTAAATAAAGAGAATTAAATGTATGCAAGCCAACTTTGAAGCTGTGAAACATAGACCAATCAACCCTACTTATTTGGTACACAAAACAAATAACATCAATTAAGAAAGAAAAACTTTTTTTTTTTTTTGCTTGGTTTGGGGATGTTAAGAAAGCTTTCAGAGTTCCCAAAGGGTCTGCAGAACCCCATTTGACAAGAACTGCTCTAGAATGCTGCCTCAGAGTGCTGCCCCCTCTCATGTTTTTGCTTGTTTTGTTTCTTTCATCTGTAAGGAACTGTCACCAGCTTCTTTTTCTTTTTCCTTTTAAATGACCATTGCGGCAGGAGGGAGCGACTATTGTAAACCTATCAATAGTACTGTCGACAGTTCACTATCGATAGTTTTGCGACACTTGTAGTTTGCGTCGCTCCCTCCTCTCTTTTTCTCGCTTTATTTTTTCAAATGGGACACCAACTAGCCCGAGAACTTACCATCCCAACTTTGGTTCAGCTTTCAGTGATGACAAAGACGGATGTTTGGGTGGAGAGGGGAGGAAGGGAGGCGAGGGGCGGTGCGGCAACTGTGTTCACTCTAGTGGTGCAAAAGTATCGATAGTAGTATCAATAGTCCCCAGAAATCTGACTGTTGATAGAATCTGACTATTGATAGTAAAAAAACTCAATAGTACTATCAATAGACGACCATCGAAACACCGTTGATTGTACTATCGATAGTCGACTATCGATAGTAAAATTGACACTGTCGCTAGTTTTGGAAAAACTACCGATAGTATCGATAGTCAATTTATCAATAGTTTTACATCACTATGGGGCATGCTAGATGCCCTTCGTTGTTTTGGCACGTAAAACCCCCAAATATTTTTTATCTAAACTGCACTATGTCACTTTGTATCGGGGTTTTGTTTAACTTGGGTACGCTGACTTAAACTACCGTGAAACCAGGAGGTAGGCTCCAAATAGTCTTCTCTATCCTGAGTTATCTCCTCTAGCCTGCTTAACCATTGCCAAATGTCACTGGAACGCTTTCTCAAATCGTTCGCCTGCTCATTCAATACAATTTGGTGCAGGAGAGGCTGCAGAAAATCATTTTCAATGTACCACTGAAGCCCTTTCTTTCTGGAGTGTGACGTCATAAAAGGAGTTTTCAGAATTTCTGCTCTCGCGCATCTTCAGCGCCTATCGAAGCTATGCGCGCGCACTCTTGCTATTTTCAAAAAAGGTAAGAACAAAAGACATCACGATTGTTGTTAGTGCGGGGAATATACCTGGCAAGCGTGCACTTGCATGCTCTGCCCCCAACGAGCGACGTGCGCTTGGCAGCCGAAAAGTCCTTTAATGACGTAACAATTGGTCGGAGATATTTTTGTGTTTTCTCGCGTTTAGTTACATCTTCGGGGAAGGTGAACGTGATGTTGAGATTCACAGAATAAAAATACTCTAGAATTCCTCTAACTTGTTTTTTGTTTTTTTTTAAAGAATCTTTTCAGCTTCTTTCTAAGGGAGCTTTTTAGGGTTCTCACATTTGTGCCTATGTGTGGCCGAATGCATTATGAGTGCTTGTGGCTGCTTGCAGTGAAAACGCTCGCTGTTGCCAACCCAGAACTCGATCAACCCATGTATATTCATACTAAAGGTCCTGCAGTATTTTCGAGCTGAAGTCTATGCATTATCTATGAGAAACAATCATTTATAACACTGTGGGAATTGTTTCACGTCCATGGGGAAAGAATAATGCATAAAAACTAGGAAATGTATGCAGATCGGTAGTGTTTTGGTGCTAGCCGATAGTCGGAGCCAGCATGCTGTCTCGTCGTAAACGGTGGCTAGCGGTCACAATGCACTCCGTCACACTCAAATGCCAATGTGTGAACCGGTCTTTGCACGCTCTTGCTCGGTCAATAGACCAATCTCACGAGCCAATTTTCGTTGCGCCGCCCCTGCGAACCTGTGCGGGCGGAGCACGAGACAGCACGAGCTGTCTCGTGCACAGCCGCCGTCCTCCTGCAGATTCCGAGTCGTGGCGGCGTGTTGCACGCTTGGAATGCTCGGCGAGATTGGTCTGTTGCGGTAATTGAGAGCAAACTTCCCTTCCTTGACTGCTGGTTTTCGTCGAAGGTGTGTCGTTGCCATGCAGCGGAGGAACGCCGATCCGGCGGACAAGCCGCGCCGGAATGCTAGGGCGGACCGGCAGTCTCCCAGCAATGCGTCTGCCGGGAGTTCGTCGTCTGCCGGCAAGAACAACACCAACCGTGTTGTAAGAATTGTGTTCGCCATATCATTCGGTCACCACATGATTCAGTCACCGCCCACGGCATTATTGAAGTCACTAATATGCAAAAGCAAAATTTCACTCTCCTGGCTAGGATGTCAACCCGTGCTCCCTCTTCCCCTATAGTTCGTGACAGGTTAACAGTTCAGGGAAAGCTCCTCCCACCCTTCTCCACATTAGCAGAGCAAATGCTGGAGAGGAGGTCAGCTCTTCTCCAGCGTTCGCTCTGTTAAACTGGAAAGAGGTGGGAGGAGCTTCCCCTGATTTTATAACTAGTCACCGACTATAGCCGGATAGGAGTACCTGTAGTATTCTTAAATAAGCTGACAAGTAAATAAAACAATTTTTGTATAGTTCTGACAGCAATTTTAGCTCATCTGCAATTGCCAAACGTTGTTGGCATATACCCCATATGGTTAGCTCATGTACATCATTGAACCTGGTGAAGCCGATGCTGCAAGTCTTTCATATGTGTGGCACTTTTGAATATTTTGTTGTTATTTCTTAGCTTTGAATAACTTTCCTTTTTCAGCAAATAACGTTCTGGGAACCATGATAGCATACTTGAGCACGAATGCTTCATAAGAAGCTCGGTCACTAATATTCATTATTTTCAAAATGATTGTGGACTTTTTATATTTTTTTTGCATGAGACACTGACTTCAACAATAGCGCTACTAGATTCAGCTATCCTAAGTTTGTTACATAGCCTATATGAGACACTGAGCAGGCATTTACACAAGAACTGATAAAACTGCAGTGCGAGTTCATCGGGAACAGGCTTCAGGCATAGAACAAGGTGAAAAAAGATTGTCCAGCTGAAAAGCCCGCTCCATGAAACGTGTTGTGCTCGCGTGCATTGCAGCAGGACCCAAACGCTCTGGCAAGTCGACTGAAGCAGCTTGACGACTGCATGCGACAAGTCAAGTCCCTCATGAAGAACCTGGAAAAGTCCGAAGACCCTGTAAGCCTTCATGCCTTCCTCTTGGTCTCTTGTGTGGGCGCTTGGATTGTGGTAGATGTGGTCTCCAAAGGCTGGTTTTCTCATTTTCGCTTGAGTCTGCCCGATTGCCTTGTGCCCACTTGTGACCGTGCACTGCCTTGGAGAAGTGGCCGCTCATTGTCAGAATTATTTCAAGCCCGTGGTTAAAGAATGATGCATAAAAAATCGGGAAACCTATATGCATCTGGGAAGCGTTCTGGAGTGACCCGATATGTACCACCAGAATGCCAGTGCTCCCTCGTCACAAGTGGTCACAAGTGGTCACAACTCAAATGCTAGTGTGTGAACCAGCCTTAGAGGTGAAACTATTGCTGCCTCACAATACACTTTTGCAAGTAGAAATTTCTTTTGTCTAATGTAGGCTCAACTGGACACCTCACAAGTGGCGGATGGTGGTATTTGAAAGCTGAACTACTCTTGGATTCTTTGTGTTGGGTGCGAATAAGTGGACTACCTATTTTGATAGTTTTGTTGATGTGAGGGAAATGCTGGTGTTCACTTGTTGCAACATCCAAATTTCACAGCACCTAGTTGGTGGTCAAAGCAGGAAGCTGTGAAAGTAGACCAGAAAATGCTTGAATCAAGGATAAGCCTCTTAGCAAAACGTGAGCTGCGATCCTACAAGTAAAAGTGCAATTTCTGAGTGTAATAAAGAGAAAGTATGTAGTTTGAGACCTGGAGATCAAGAAAAATGTTTTCTATAAACCTTTTTCTTTATTTTTAATTCAAGGAATGATTGTGCTGTCATGGTAAGAGAGGTATGTCTTTGTGTTAAAACCTTCATTTTCAGTTTAGAGTGCAGCTCTTATGCACCCATCTCTGCATATAGCGGTGTCGCCGTCAGTGTAACCGCCCTACTAAATTGAACAGGAAATTGAATTGGTGTTGAGGTCACGTGACGTCAATTTTCCCGCTAAATCTAGCGGAGAGACTGAATTTATTTATGGGTGACGTGACACGAAGTCGTGTGACGTCATTTTTCCCGCTAAATCTAGTGGTGAAACTGAATTGGTGTTGAAGTCGCATGACGCCAGTTTCCCCGCTAAATTTAGCAGGAAAATATCCCTGCTAAATTTATAAGGAAATTTAGCTGGAGGAGGAGGAACATACCTTCCCCTCCTCTTTCTGAAGAGCTGTTCTCTAGTTTCGCATTAGAGATTTGTAAACGTCCATTTTTTTGTTGTTGTCAGCGGGCACAGGGGGAGCTGGTTCGCTTGCAAAAGCTTCATGAGGACATGGTTTCAAAGGCGACCTTCATGCAATCCCTTCTCGATCAGGTTGGCGTGCATTCCTTGGGACATGCTAAGTTTGCTGCTGTTGTTAGGTCCTCTAATGACACTAACCGTCTTTGTTTCTTGGAAATAATGTGTATGCAAAAAACTAATCATGCTTGCACAGCACTTTCTTTGGAACCTTTTTGAGATGTCGGTTCCTTTTCCAGAACTAGATGTCCGTTGAATGCATGATGGCTGGGGAAGCAGTTCAAGAATGCAAGAACAAAAGATGACAGGACTATATTGGCAGATGACACATTCGCATCCATTGTTGCCGTCACCTTTTAATGTAGAACAAATTTTTGGAGAGGTAATCTGCTGAAAACGTAAAACGCAAAGGCGACTGGCAAGAGCAAGGTGTAAAAAGCATTTACGTTTGAGAGATTGGAGTATAGTGTTACCACTGCAGCAGAGCTCTTTCGCTCATATTGGCTGGTGTAAGTGATCGTGTGACCATAGCGACAAACAGTGGCATCCCCGTCGGAGTCGCATCATGTGTCTCAGTACAGAAATGATTGCACAAAGATTCATCTAGCCAAAACCGCGTTTTATGTATGATTCTGTCATTATGACCAAGCGACTGCCACAAATTGTTTCCACGACTAGAAAATGATGGTGCATTTCATAGCACCGTTTCGGTAATGAATGGTTATCATCTAAGTTGTTGTTTCGTGACTGTAGTGACAGCGCGCGAACAGGCTATGCTCCGTTCACCCCTAAGGCGGCAGTGCGGATGAGCTACGCACTTACCGGACCAATCAAATCCCCCCTCTTTCATCACCTGGCCCCGTTCTTTGCACATAGCTTCCGTCACTCTGTCAGCTTAAGGGTGGATGGAATGTAGGGCAAGGGGGCTGCTGCAATGCTCATCTCTTGTTACGTCAGTCCGACAGCTGCGTCCCACGGATGTCTTGCGCTCCCTTCCTCCCTTTCTCTGTCTGTGACGTCCGTTCAAGTGTTGCTGCCCCTTCCCCATTCTCCCGCATGGTGTGCCGGCACGGAATGCATCGCCACGAGCAGGGTGCCCACGGCCACTTGCAGCGCCTTCGCCAGATGATGCAGCACCTGAATGCGGAGCTGGAAGGCAGCGGTGCACATTCACGGCGGGTATGGCGCTGTAGTGGCCAAGAGCTCGAAAAACACAGGCTGTGGCCTATTATCGTCGGGCTTTTTGATTCGCAATTCGTTTTTTAGCCTCTTCGTCAGCCAATGTCTCCGTGTCATCTGGTGGGGTGCAATAGTGAGACGTCCGCGACTCTAACCACCCCGCTTTTCTCGAGTTGTCGGCGTGTACGATTTGCGTGATCGTTGACTGGGGAAACTTGCTTTTTGGAGCGTTCTGCACGGTGTATGGTTGCGACTAGAGCTACTAAATAGGCTCCATTTGGAACGTCTGCGTTTTGCTTGTTGGTACCACCATTTTGGTACCTAGATGGTGGCTTTCGTTACGGTTTGAAACTGCGTCTTCCTGAGTTTTAGCTACGACGTCGGCAAACTTGGGTGACTTCGTCCGACTCTGCTGCGGACTGCTTTGATGTTTCCGGAGGACAGAAAAGCGTCCTGCGATGATTTCATGTAAAGCTTCAGGTGACCGGCAGCAATGACTTCAGCACCGAGGTGGCTTCTGGAGTGTCACGGCTCTGAGGCGTGGCTGATTTAGTTGGGACTTGCGTTGCACCGATCACCCTGATACAATTGAATTTTAGTGATCTCGTAATCACGCAGCCCTTCCTGCACTACCCGAATACGGATTCTTTTTTGTCGTCCGATTCACGAGATTATTTTTTTATTGGCCGATTGTTTAGCAGTACGGTATGCACCCGTGAACTGCGAGCAGTTCAGTGATGGTGCGTGATTTAAGTATGCAGAATTGTGCGGTCCATTTTTGAATATTCGTGTCATGTGACGTCTCGTCGGACTGCTCCGAATCGCGTGTCATTATAAATTAATGAAATCGCGCACGAACTTGGAGCCGCATGTCACTGGTCCGAATTGCAAGGTTTTGTACATGTGGGTTGCAGTTTTGCGACGTGATTCAGTCTCCTAAGATATCAACTGCACAATTTCTAAACATATATTTTCTAATCCAGACACTAACGACAGAATTCTTGTTGCACAACACGTCGCATGATATACCTTTTTTTTTTTTGATAATGCTAATCAATTATTTTAAATATTGATGCACCTGAAATACTGTTTGCATGGTCTTGGCACAAGTCCGTGCTTTAAATGTTGGACTTGTCGCTTGTTTTGTTGCATGAAAGGGCTGTGCAAGCTTTGCTTCCCGTAGTCTGTTATCACCATGGTAACTTGCTTATATCTAGGGTTCTATGTCTTCAGGATTTATTTTTGGTGGAAGAAGGGGGAGGGGGGTTGATTTTATGGGTGGGGTGTTCTTTCAGGGTTGATTTTTTGTGAGGGTGTTTTTTCGGGGTGGATTTTTTTGGTGGGAGTTTCTCGGGGTTTATACTTGGTGGTGGGTGCTTTTTGGGGGTTTTATTTTGTGTGGGGTGTTTTTTCATGGTTTATTCTTGGGGGGAATGTTTTTTGGGAGTTTATTTTTATTTTTTTTTCTCCACAGATTCAATGTTCTTGGGTGTCGACTTTCGATGTCGGGCAATACATTGGGGTTTGTGTGGAAGAGAATAGGACACGGGCACGAGACTCCCCCAACCTCCGGACAATGGGGACCCGAAGGCTTAGAATACGCATTGGTATTAAAAAGAGAAAGGAATTAGATATAATTGGCGTGGTTCCGAAGGAAGAAGCAACCTCACTGGCAGTTGATTGTGGGCTGTGCTCCCTTTGAAAATGAAGTAAAGCTTTAGATAAAGGTTATCTCGCCTTGGAGCTTGGGCCTTTCTTATTCGATGCATCTCTAATTCGGAATTTTTCGGCTCTTGTCCTATTTTCGATAAAACCGTCTCGAAGGGGGGGTAATTTTTGGTGTTTATCGGTAGTTAACCCTAATCTATCTCACCTACAACATTCAACCATCGGTATAAACCTCGTAATCGAAACAGACTTTAATTATGCTTGGATTTGCTTGTTTTCGACGCAGTACAATGCCCTCGACCAACGTCAGCGACGCCTCGAAGAAAGATCAGCATCGCCCGCGCACAAAGTCTCTTCGCAGACGGTGCTCAACGTGGTTGACAACTGCGTTGACGACGAAGACGAGGACGACGGAAACATGAGGAGCGATCTCGAATATCCGCCTCCAACTAGGGTGAGCCTCAAGGTTGCGCGACTTCTGCCCACATGCAAGATGGATGCAGTATCTTAGGGTAGAGAATCATAGAAGTGTACATTGGGCATCCTGGTGATTATGTGCACTTCGTGCAGACTTGGCATAGCTTGAGCGAGAAGTTTCTTCATGATCCAGCAGTTTTATTGGATTCATTTCAGTCTAATTAAATTAGTGTATTAGAAGCGACACAGACTGGAGACTATTTTTTAGTTTGGCTCAAAGGGGGCTCGCACTAATTTCAACCAAAATATATTTTTGTATTCTTTTTTAGGAGGATGAGGAGAATCTGGTGCAGCAGAATGCCATCATGCGCAAAATTCTGGAATCCAAGAAAAAGGTCGGTGAAATTTTGTCTTCTGTTTGCTAGTAACTCTGAGTGGATATTAACTATTGGACTACTCACTCACTTAAGTTGAAAGTACCGGCACCATTGGCACCTGAAGGAAAACGACATTCCTACAGTTTCAGTTTGACTTGGCAAAAGGCGAAAGCTACAGCTCCCACAAACCTATTAGAGCAGTCGAGCAAAGCTCGTGGCAGATCTCGGAAGGAAAGGCGCTTCCACGGTATGTTGTCACGTGCCCCGTTCCCTCCGTCCGATTGGTTCGCTGAAGTCATGGCTTTTGTCCTTTGCCCAATTGTGTCAAACTGAGTACTATAGGTGACATATCGCTTCACATTCTGAAAACAAACTCTTAGGCTGACTAATTAGGGCCCTGAACAAGTTTTTCACAGTTGACAGTTTTTAGGGGTCACATGGTTACAGTAGGCATTCTGCGCTCTGGTATGCCGCTTGTTTTAATCATTTGCTTGCTTTTGCAGTGCAACAGCAACAAATGTTGCAACTTTTGCTTTGCTTTTTGCTCTTTTCCTTTTCAGTTGCTGGAGTTACAGGATCAGCATGCTCATTTGGCCAGCATGCAAAAAAGGGCCGAAAACAAGCTGGCTGAAACACGAGCATTCCAAGGTGGGCTTCATGTTCCACAAACGGGGACAAACATTTTGGGGTTTCCTGTTTTTGTCACAGCAGATAGTAAAGCTCTCGTTTAGTGTTTGTTTGAAGCATGGAGAAGAGTGTTTTATGCTGACTCTTCTGCGCTTTTTTTTTTTTTTGCTGCAAAAGATGACCACGTTTCTTGTAAAAATTTGTCTCGGGTACATTACAGAATATGATTAGTTTCTTCCTTGCTTAGAACTGTAACAAACTCATACTTTCACAGTAGAGGGGCAATTGATGTGTGCTACAGTAAAACCTCGTTAATTCAACCCCCTCTAATTCTGAAATTCAGATAATTTGAACTGCCGATCTGGTCCCGTCAAACGTATGTATTATTCAATGGCAGCAAACGCTCATTAATTCGGAGGAAACGCGGCGCGCTATGGTTAATTCGGACAAATTCGGCAGGTGGCGCTAGCTACCGTCCGTTCCAAAGGGTATGACCGCTATCCATCCGAGGTGCACACATGGTTTTTCCGGTTTTCCCATGGCTCTTCACTTTTCCGGTTCTCCGTGTTTCGCATCGGTTTTGCTCTGTATTGCCGTTCTTCAGCGCGTTACTGTCCTGGCATGGAAGCGGCAAAAGCATAGCTGCAACGGAAAAAGGGTAGCACAAGTGACCGATGACCGGAATGGCAAAATCGCAACACGCGGGGCTATTGTTCCCGAGCGTGCCGATAGCGAGAGTGACAGTCACGTTTTATGCCTCAACGCGGGGATCCTAAAGCCCGCAATTTTAACAGCTATCTTATCCCTCAATTTTTCGCCGGCCACCCCCGCGTTAAAAATTGCAACGTGACTGGCTCTCTCGCCATCGGCGCGCTCGGGAAAAATAGCGCCGGGTGTCGTAATTTCGCCGCTCCGATTATTGGTCAGCTGTGCTACTCGTTTTCTGTTGCAGCTGTACTAGGCTAAGAATTTAGCGACGAAAGTGGAAATACTGAGGGCCTTGAAAGACGGCGTCTCTCGACAAGGGACGGAAAGTTACGACGTCAAGAGAAGCAGTTTGGCCACGTACATGAAAATTGAGGCCGATATCCTACGGGCTTTCTAGAGCGAGAAGTTCAATGCGGAAAGAAAGCGGCCTTGGAAGGCGGTGCACCCGAAACTAGAAGAGGCCTTGCTGTCCTATCTTGTCGGCGCACGGGATGCGTAGCTCTGACAGTGCGAGTGCGGTGGAGGACTCGACATCGCTAAGGAAAGTTGCCGTCTCCGCCCAAGTGTCGTCTAGAAAGCAGGCGGTAATAACATATTTCTTTTCAAAATAAAGGGATGTCGCAGGGAAACGTTTTCGCACAGCTTTCTTTGTCCCTTCGATATTTCGACTTTTGGATAATTCTGACATTTTTGGCCGGTCCCATGAGATCTGAATTAACGAGGTTTTACTGTATGACAATTAGAATATTGCTAGTAGAACTAGCTTTGTGCGACACAGAAACTTAAGCAGCATCTTTAAGCTTATCTACTGCAAATATCCGCTTTGTTTAGCACCCCTTTTTTAAGTTTACTTATGTCTGCTTATTTTGCACCACAAATAATTCTCTTGGGACAAAAGTGAAATACTAAGATGAAAGCATAGAAAGACTGACAGTTCAGTCGGAAGAAGTCAATAAATGTGGATGCAGCAGAAGTTTACGGCAGACACAAATCTTGTAGTGAAGCAAAACATAACGAAGATAGTAAAACAGTGAAGCTTCTCTTCTGGAATGTAACTGATATTGCTAAGAGTGGTTTCACTGTACATGACCTGATTAATTTCAACTGTCTGCTAGTGTTCATATAGTATTTTGGTTCTGAAGGCCAGGAAACTCTGGCAGCATGACCCGTCGTATAATTTTGACGCAGGTGGATTCATTCCCATGTTAGTCAAAGTGGCTGACCTCCGGAATTTTTCGTTCTTTCCAGTTTGCCGCAGTGTGGTCTTGCGGTTCGTACGTTTATAATGATAATTTGTATGTTTCCTTCTGGTTGCAGACCAGCTGGCTCTGAACAATCCGGATTTGAGCGAGTGGGTGAACCAGATCCAGAGGGAAAGTGCGGCGGGGACGTTGCTCAACCCGACCTTGGCCTCCAGAGAACCCAAACGATCCATAGCCGCATCCGGAGCGGGGAGAAGGACGCAGCAACACCAGCACACGGTGCGTGGCGGGTTCTCTACCCAACAGTTAGTAGTTGCTGTAAAATGCCGGAGAAGCACCCTCCCCGCTTGCACCGCAAACTGGGTCAATTTAGACAGGGGCACTTGTCCAGTCAAATCAAGCTCTCAACGTTCAATTTGCAGAATTCTCAAGTTTGGAAAATGTCGATAATGGGCGCCTGAATGAAGTAGGCACTTCCGCGGTATTTTACGGTAGGTGATAGGTCTACTTGGGTGTCTGAAACGCGTCTCCGACCAATGTGTTATTGCGTCCTCGGGTCTGGTTTCTCGATTTCCCGCTTCTTCGTCTGCCAAGATCGTGGTGGTGGCACTGCGGCACAAGTTGGTGCAAAAGACGCTCATTCTGCTGCCGGTCGCCCTCCAGCTCGACAGTCCACGAAACCTTTGGCGGCTAGGAACTGGGACGCCGCGACGACAATTCGCTTGAACTTTTGGCCAAAACTTCGCCGATCGACCGCCAGGGTTGCGGCATCCACCGACATTACGCACCGGCTCTCCTGCGACGTCGTTCGTTACGACATCGGGGCCACTTTCAAGGCTTGGTCGTTATGGGGTTATACATAGACGACACCGGGCGAAGATTCTTTCCAGGGATCCTATTTTGGTCACTGCAAGAGCGAGATCTAGTTTGCCTCTTGTGGAGCGAGCGAAAATGGCTTTCGTAGACGGTTCGTCTGCTGGCGCGAGCGGGAAATGCGGTCTGCACACTACGAAGTACAATTTGCAGACCGTAAGAAATCGGAAATGCCATACATCATCTGCTGGAGGGTCGGAAAAACAAGTTGGTTGTCTGCCACGAACGAGGTGCCACAGCGAAGCCAGATTGACCATTGGCGGAAATTGCGATCGTCTGCTACTTCGCGTTAGAAGCCACTGATAGCCCACTCTTCTTTTGCTAACCGAGTTGTTCCACCGCCGTACACGACCCAATGTTGATCGGTAGATGAGGGAATATTAAGGACGAGCACATCGGAGGCCGCAAGACCTTTCTCGCCGAATTGGTGAGATGGTCTCGCCAGAATTTTGGCCAATTTGGAACCGGCAGACAGGTCATAAATGTCTCATTTGTTGATTACACAAAACTGTGGCGCCACGTCCAATCGGAGTCCGACAACGCTCTCGCTCTTGGCTTGTCCGAAATCGGACCCCAGACACCGTTGCCCTGCTTTGAAAGTGGCTTGCTGTCGTTTCTAAATTTGGAGAAGTTACGGAGGCTGAGCAACCCTTCTGTTGGAGTGAGCAGAGAATGAAAAATTCAGAATGCTCAAGGCCTACAGCACTTCGACTGTAACTGGCATGCAGTTTGACACTTTGGGGGGACAGTGCAGTCAATAACCCGTTCTGTGGCTGTACCATGTTTAGAAAGTGTACTCTGTCCCATGAGCTCTGTGTTGAGCTTAGGGAAGAATGGGGACTGTTTCCTTATGCAAATAGTCATACGATTCCTGCACAAGTTTCGATTGTTTCGGCAGTGTTGGAATGCTCACCTCCGGAATACAGGGTGTCCCCCCAAAAACCTAAGGGTTTTTTTTTTTTTTTTTTTTCACTGCAAAAATAAAGTACATGTCGCCGAATGCGTGTAGACCAGCTGCCAGAGTTTCGGAGCTTGCCGTTAGGTAGTATTTAAAAAGTTAGAAGCAATTTTTTAAAATCTTTTAATGGGAAATTAGTTGCCAACAAAGGACATGAATGCATGGAGATGAATGGCACCAGCTACCAGAAATGGGTTTTGTTTTCCCATTTAAACTCTCAGAAGGTCAGTTCTGAAATTACATTTGGGCAGAGAGCTACATTTAGGCAAAGACTGAGTGTTCAATGATGCGCTGTATATCAGTTCTGCTTTTTAACTGCTCTGTTAGAAAGAGTTCTAGAGAGAGAATATATTATAAATGTTGCCAAAAAAAAAATTTTTTTAATGTTTTTCTTTAGAGGGTGTCGGCTGCAGAAGCTGCTGGCGGTGACAACAACTGGACGTGGACCGCAGAAACGAGCGCCGTCGGCACTGCAACGTCGGCCGAAGCGGAACTGAAGCAGCTGGAGCGTCGCCTGCATCAGTTGCAGGGCATGGCACAGCAGCAGGACGTGGTGAGCACGAGGACTCAAATAGTTGTTCCCTCAACTTTCGAAAAAAGATTTCTTACGGCTGCATTCTTTTTTTTTTTTTAACCTCTTCTTGTTTTAGCGTTTTGACCTTACATCGAACATCTACATTATTGATTACAGTGAGAGGGAATAGTTTCGTTAGTTGGAAAGATCAGTGGTGTAGGCAAGCAGTTGTAGGTGTAGCATAACTAAATCTTCATTTTTTAGTTTGTTGTCAGTCATTCTTGGAGGCCACACTTGCTCATTTGTAGTAGTAGCGATGTCTGTAGTGAAGGCAAGCTGTGAAACACCGTTTTTCCTGTTGTAGAATCCAGTAGGAAAGTTGTCCCGCTTTTCTGGATAAACATTCACAGATTAAAACTTTCGAAACGTCGCTCACCCAAGATTTTTGTCGGACGTCACGCAGCGTCTGACGGGAATTCAGCCATAAAATTTGCAGTATTGGTACCTGTGCCAAGCTAGTTTGTAGCTGGTTCCCGCTTGCGTATCACACCGTGAAAGGCGAATTTGCTGCGTCGGGGGGTTATCTGCAGTATCAGTTCCCGTGTCGTGTAGTTCATAACTAATTTCTGCACCCACCCCGCATTTGTCACTTTAGTTTCTTAAATTTTGCTGTTTCATTCTTGAAGATATCCCGCCCCCTTTTTTTTTCACCATTTCTATCTTCTCCACGGGTGGGCGTTTTATCGGAATCTTACTGAATATATCAACATATTTCATGTATTTATACCTGCTTCTCCAGTTTACCACAACTTTGCAGGAAAGTTGAACTTACCGTAATATCCCGAGATGCCCGACCCCGGATATATATAACCCACTCCTACTTTTGGCATGATTTACATTTTTTTTTTTTTGTTCCAGAAACAGCACACTTCTAGTAAACGTAGTGCCGGGTCAATGACGACAACAGCAGATTTGGGGTTAGCTTTGGCAGGAGATATAAGCAGACATTGCTGGTTAGGAAGGACTGTCATCCTTGGTTCATTGCCTCTCGCTGAGATAGTAAGTTTGGCATGTCGCGATATAAAAAATTAACTTATTTTTCATTGTTCCTTGATTGTGCATTGAAAGTTAGCCCACTCCTTATTTTCGCTCAATTTGCTCTCAATTCAAGGTGGGCTATTTCTCAGGATATTATGATCTCTCATATCCCTGTCAGACAGGTTAATTAGTGCACTTCAGTTCACTGAATGTCGCTTCGTGTTCCGGTGCCACACGGGATAAATTAGTGTCACTCGGACATGATGACAATAACGATGGATAAAACACTATTTACACCTGAAATGTTAGGGTAAAGTCATGTATTAGCAATATTTTGTTTTTTTAATAAAAACACATTTCAAGACAGGGTTATATTAATTGACAATATTTACACCAATTGGATGATTCTGATTGACCATCACAGGCCAAGATAAAGAAAAATAAGATAAAGAGGAAGAAGCAAACTCACTTGAAGCCAAGTATGTTCTTCAAGAAGAAGCCGTGTGGCACACACACAAATGACACTGAAGGTGAAGTGCACTCTAGCCCGTCTGACCGGGGTGCCCCAAGTGGTGGTTCGCACAGGGATGTTTTCTTTTTCTGTAAGCGGACGTAACTATTATTCGTACGATTTCCCGAGGTTGCCTTCTTCCTCCTTTAATATGTGGCAATTAATTGGACAAGTCGGCACAGACCTCGCCCCGTTTCATCAACTGATTGATGCCGAACTCCGTGTGGCTCCCACTGACCCAGCTGGAAGGGCCCTCGGCAGCCGACCTCTCCGACCTCTGCCGGGAGCGCCGCAAGCTTCAGGACCGCCTGAAGGACCTGCACGACCAGAAGGTCGAGATGGACCAACTCCTGTCCGAGTTGTCCTTGCTACAGTCGGCCAGCGGTCTGGGAGCCGTGCCCGTGGGTAGGTCGACCTCGGTCACATTGGGCTTCGTAGCGGCACGCGGGTCGTCCAACAAGTCATTCACCCGAGGATGTTCTAAGTGGAGTGCGTACATCTCCGTTCTTCCTCAAAATCGGGTTTAAAGTTGGCCGTCGGGGGTTTCGTGTTGCCGTCTACGAATGGCCACACGCTGCAAACGACTTTGTTTTTGCGGGCTAAATGTTTCACGGATTTAGCGAAGAGCGGGTTTTCGTGAACGTTGTGTGGGCACAATAATTTGCGATTGGGAGATGGCGAGCCATGTATCCGCAACTGTTGGGCTATGCGTTTGCACGGTCTATTTTGTGCAGTGTTTTTAGAGCCACGAAATTCGGGAAAATTGGGTCCACTTGAAGGTGGGGTCGGTTGTGGTGTCTGGTGACGGCCGCGAAAGGACACGCTTTTGACACCTGGGTGACAATATTGTGCAATGTCTCATGGGCGTTCGCTAGACGTCTGTTTTTGGCAGCTCTCTTGTGGCCATCAACAAATTAATGGTTTTTTTTTTACGTCCTGGGGACTCTGTTGTTGGACGTTTATTTTGCATTCGTTTCTGGCATTAGACTTGTGACATTAGGCATTTAAAGACACCACAGATATTTGTGGCTTTTTGGGTCAATACCCATAATCTGCTTCGATTACAGGCGATTCGTTTCTTACCAGTAAAATAACTTTTTGTCATTTGCATGAAAAAGCGAGAATAGACTGAACTATTTTGTTTTTCGTTTTTATCATCCTTTAGAGAGTTTCGAAACGAGAAAGACCGTGCTGAACATTACTTATTTTTATTTTTCACTGACAAAAAGTTGTAGGGCTTCCACGGTTGAAGAGAAGCCGCTGAGACCCAAATTTATGCCATATATGCTCAGTTTGACTTTGTCCATTTTTCTTAACCTTCCTTGACAGAGTACCTTTTAGCAAATAACTGCAATCGGTGACAGCCGGATAGATGCACGGTGGGGCGGGTACCAAGTATCTCATTATCACTCCGCAGCCAATCGGATGGCTGCATTAGCCGGCGAGAACTCGGGAAGACGAAATCGCGAGCCAAGGAGTGCGAACACAATAATCGACACCCTGCATTTCTTCGACTGCCGGCAATTGTGAAAGGTCGTTGCTTTTATAGCCGTCAAGCGTGGGAAGGTGGATTTTATACCGAGACTGGTACTAATAACCCTTTGGAATCAATTTCGTGCAAGCGTCATGTAGAGTCTAGACATTTAGGGACGAAATGTTGCTCGTTCTCACAAAGCTTTCTTTTGTGTTCAGTCATTGTTTTTGCACCCTCGCGAGCTGTCTCTATATTAAAGTTCGAATGTCCGGGTTTCAGGGCACCCGGACATCGATCCACGGGAGGATCCCCTACCCAACGGCCCTTCCAACGAGTCCGGCTCTTCCGACCATTCGACCTTGAAGGACAAGAAGAGGTGGAGATCTTTCTAATCGGCCTTCACTTTTTAGCTTCCTTGGTTATTTGTAGTGTTCACGTAATTTATGCCACTTAACCGCATTGTTGCCAGGATTGTGGTTTTTGTTAACGGGTTAATAGGGTAGCGTCTAAGGTGCTAGTAAAGTAAACTTGCCATGGTCACTGACAAAATTAGAACAGCAGGGAGGTATTTCGGTCGCTTATTAACGCTTTGGTGTCTCGAGAGTATACGCGCAGCCGAAGCACAGTGGAAGGCAACGGGCGCATGGTGGAAGCCAGGCATTTGAATGAGATGCCTGTCGTTCTGGTCCTGTCGGTGGCTGTGAAGAACTCGTTGCCGTGAGATCTGCACCTGCATTCGCAAGTTTTGTGCGTCTGGTTTTGACTTTTTTTTTTTTTCTTGCTCTCTTTTCACCAGGCAGGTGGAAGAGATGCGCAGGACGCTACAGCAACTGAGGTCCGCTGTCAAGAACTTGGAGCAGGGTGTTGGGATGACTGGCACGGCGACCGCCATCCTGGAAGGCGCCACCGGCACTGTCGTGTAAGTGACGTTTGCATGTGTACAAAATCTTTGATGCCCAGCCCCCTTTTTTCTTTTTTTTTTGCCTTATGAGATGTGGAAAATTATGAACTAAACAATCTAAGCCCCCCCCGCCCCGAACGTGTCCTCTCTTTTTCGCAATCAACATGGCGAAAGGAGGAAAGTCTCGTCCAAGTCTGGCTATCCTCGTCCGGCTCTGCGCCCTTCCCCCTCCGGCTTCTGGCGGATGTTTGCGGTAGCAGATAGAGCTGACGATTTTGTTGACCTCGGATAGATGGCGCCACTAAAACTCCGTATAATAACAGCTTTTTCGATGATACCAGGTTTTTGACGCATTTAGATTTATGTTGGAACGACAAGGTTTATAGAAAAAGTACCTATTATCGAGCAGGTACTTGCACAAGTTCCCATCTTTTTACAAGTCCCCCATTGACGCCACGTCGTGTGGTTCTCATGGCCGCCGCTCGCGGCTGCAGGTCAGGAAATATTCTAATTTTTGCCTTGCGATTATGCGACAGAATCGCAACTTTTCGAAGGAAGGAGATGTGTTTTTTGTCCTTTGTGACAAGATAAACAATGTCAAAAGTAAAAGATGCAAATTCTTTCAACCTTAAAATCGTTGCACAGCTCCTTTAAGGGAGGAAGGGAGGTGAGGAAGGGGAAATTTTGTGGCATATGGCCGCAATCTAGGCACTTCAAGGAATATTTCTCGGGTGTTCAGCATCCTTTTAATCAATGATGCATTCATTTGACACCTCTTCCAAAGGCCCCAGCACTCGCACGGAGCGAGGGTCGTCGGCGGGACGTCCTCGCACAAGACGGACAACCTGAGGGGCCCTGACTTCCCCGCCCGGCGCCATTACGAGGCCGAGGGGAGGGCCAACGAGGAGCAGGACTCGGTTGCCATGGCAACCGTCTCCTCCCAGGTCCCCCCCGGCAGTACCCAAGGTCGCAGTAGCGATGGGGACGTGCTCGCGGAGAAAGTGAGGTGCGTGTACGACTAGATTTCCCGGCGTCTCTCGACGAAGTGGAGAAAAGCACCTGTATTCTCTCAGTGCTATAGTCATCAACAAAATGAGATCACTAGTTGTGTTGCTCGGTCTGCCCACAGCACGTCTGCGGGAAATGTTTCCAGTATACTATGGCACGCAAGGTCGGAGGCGAAACGTGGCAGGGAAAACTTTTTTTTCAAAAACGCTTCTGCGAGTTGAGTATTTATGGTGTCGAAACACGACGTGGCACTCGCTCCGTGTGAGGCGGCTGCCTTCGTGGCTCTAATGCAAAGGTCCAGCGTTTGGATCTCCGGGTGGCGGGTTTGAATCCCGGCAAAGGTGCCCGCAATCTGACGAGGCTTATTGCTTCTTTGAACGTCGTAAGGTCTCGGGTGGTTGAAACTATTCCTTGGTCCTCTGCTGGGGGTTGCTAGATGCCCTCAGTCGGTTTGACGCATAAAACCCTTAAATTTTGTCTTGCTATGTTAAAAATAAAAATAAGTTTTTTTTTTTTGTTTTTTTTTGTTTTACAACATTAATTCTCTTTCCAGATAGCTGCATATGCAATAAAACATACAAGTATGCAGTGCAAAAGAGTACATATATGACATTTCATGAGTGAATTGCAGGGTGTTTGTAAGGAGCTACACTCGTTTTCATTTGCACTCTCATTTCTATAGCCGCGTCTACATGAATGCGACTTAAGTGCATCGACTCCAATCGTCCTTCGAATGAAGCTGACGCCATGTTTACATAAATGCACACTTAGCCTTACACAAAGATGGCGCCACGCCGTGTCAGAGCTTAGTTAAAGCTCCGTTTCTGGCACCAGCTTCACCACATGACCACGTTTTCCGGTGCATCGCACGTGAAGGTCGTTCGACGCTTTCGGCAAGCGTAAAGGTTGTGCCAGCTGTTTTCGGTGCTGTGCAAGAAGGTACAAGTCGGAAGACACACCAAAACCCAAACGTTTAGGGCTCTGGGCCGGGCGGCCACTCTGGATCAGAGGCGACAAGTGTGCGCACGCCCTGACGAGCGAGATCGTTTCCAAACGCTCCTCGCCGACCGCTACCGGACACACCGGACCCCAAGGCCAAAAGGCTCCGGCGCAACCAGGAACAACACGGAGGTAGGACTTGGGAACTGCTCGTTCTGCGCTACCATGCAATGGTCAGAGCTCTCTGTGCCATTTGTGCTTGCGCCGAAGTCTCTTGGGACTCCCTTGGACGCGCAAGTCATACTTCGCAAGGCTTGGACAAGGGCCGCCCACACCGAGCAGCTCAGCTATATTCCGCTCACTTATGATGGCAATGAAAGCTCACGTTTCTTCTCGGGAGAAAACTGCGGGCGACCACGCAGGACCGCTCTTCACGCCGCCACCAAGGTTGGCCACCAGCATATTCTCGGCTGTTCACTCGCTCCCGCAACGAGCGCCTTCCCATAATCCCCCCCGTTGTAAAATGCAATGCGACCTCCATTTACATGGGCTGAATGAATGCGCATTCGCTGTTTCTATCCACCTCTGTCTACCGACTTGGTTGCGATGCGCTTTTTTAGCTTATTATGCCGTTTACATGACCGCATTGGGCGCGTTAAGTCCGCGCTCCGGAGCGCGAGAGTTTGGCGCTCCTTTCACTAAACGGACAGGAGTGCCACCGGAGACTGACACTCGAGCGCGCTCTTCGTGCACCGAGAATTTTTCGGAGCGCGAGTGACTTCTTCGCGCTCCGTGACGTCACGTAAACAAACAAGATGGCTGCGCTGCTCTTGCGACCGGCAAGACGAAAAGGCGTAGGCGGACCGCTACCCCTTTTCAGTTGATTAGTGCTTAATCCAGCAGGTAAAAACGATTTGATTTGAAAGCCGAGACAGCAATTAGCGTTCCGCAAAAGGTTTGTTTGTTCATCTCGCCTGAAAAAGAAATTAATCTATCAAACGCTGCCGTGCCGATAGCACTGCGACAGAAAAGTTGTCGAGATGAGAAGATATTCGGACCGCTCTGTCCCTTTTATAATACTTAGCGCAGCGAATAAAGATACTTCGATTTGAACGCCGAAACATCAGCGAGCGTCGATGAAAAGGTTTGTTCGTGAGTCTTGCCTGAAAACGAATTGATCTATCGAACGAGCGTGCCGATAGCTCGGCGACAGAAAAGTGATGAAAAGACAGACGGCTGCCCTGCTTAGAATGCTTAGCCCGGCCGCAGCGAATAAAGATACTTAGATTGGAAAGCCGAAACATCAGTTAGCGTTGCGGGAAAGGCTTGTTCATGCATACCGCCTAAAAACGATGTGCTAACGAACGACGGTGTGCCGGTATCGGCGTAGCTTCCGTCTCGCTGCGAGACGGAACCGACGGAACCAGAAAATCTTTGACAAATTTGAGGGTTTTCCTGTGTCGCCCCGAGCGGGTTCAAGAATATTGTCTTTAATTTAAATCGGAACAGCATGCATGGTCGATAAATAGGTCAACCAAGGTAACCTTCCACATATGTGCACGAAGCGAGTCTTCAAACCTTTCAGGAATATTAAAACGTTCGTAGAAACTTCATAACGTTGCCGTCTCTTTTGCTTTAGACTCTGCCGCTCCACCCGGGCCTAATTATTTATCTTCGAAATATTTTCGGCTTCTGCCACCCGCATCCACGGTTGGAAGGAGCTCGTGTGGGCCGTGGCCCGTCGATAGGGTCGATAGTTTCTGGCCGTGTTCCAAACTTACTCGATCTAGCTCTAAGGTAAAAGTGGTTATCGAAGACCTACCCGCGTCCAGCGTTTCTCTATTTTTGTTGTCACGTGACATAAAACGCCAGGGTAACTCGGATCCATTTGAGTAGGTTTGGAACGCAGCCTCGGTGTGTCGCGCTCCTGTACGATATGCGCCGTTTAGTTGCTGCGCTCGGAGTATGAAACTCGGAGCGTCGGAGTAGGAGTAAAGGAGCGCCGACTTAACGCGCCCATTGAATGCAGCAACTGGATTTGATGCGACTAAGCCACATTCATATAAATGCGGCTAATCTCTTGTTGCCTACAGTACAGTAATACCCCTAATGTGACATGGGTGCACAAATGAATTAACCAGCCAAGCAGGTCAGATTTTCAGAGGTTGGAATTTGTGCATCGAAACTCGTCGTTTCCTCGTATCTGCCAGTCCAAATGTCGTCGCATGTTTTGCACGTGTGAACAGACAACTGCAAGCCACCCGCAGCCAGCTGCAGTATCTTCAGGGGATCGTGACCTCCTTCCAAGAGGGTGACCTGGAGGGTGACAGTGGTGTCACCAGCGCCACCGCATCACTGGGGTGAGCACACTTAAGGATAAGGTTTATTCGGGAATAAAAAATCGGGTAGTCTGTGTCGGGAACGCAGCTGCAGGGGGTACTCGAAACGTCTTGTGCGTGCTGCAGAGCGTGCACGGCCACAAATGTGCAGAAATGACATAACGAAATACACAACTTGCATTTATTTGCACATTACAAGGCTTACATGCTTAACTTTCGTTAAAGCTATTGGGAGTCTTGCGTCGGTCGGAGACGGGGCCGGCTTTTAATGGTGAAAGTAAGCACTGTCAAAGCTAGTGCCCAAGCAGAGTGGCACGTGAAGCCAAGTCTCGAACACTTGCACTCCCCAGGTTTAGCAGGCTTCCTTTCCCACAGTCCAAGCTAAGACGCTGATTCTAGCAAGCCGTTCCAGCTGTCAAAGTTTCAAAGCTTACTGAAGCATTATGGCAGGCTGCACCTGTCATAATGTTTTTTTAAAACAAGGAAGCGACCACAGATGGGGAACCAAACAATGGCAGCAACTTTTGTGTGCCGACGAAACTTGTAAGTGCAAACAGACTAACACAATGATGAGGACACAGGCAACCGCTTGTTCGTGTCCCCTTTCTTGTGTTTGTCTCTGTTTGATCGTACGAGTTTCCTCAGCATCGTGCGCCCAGTATCCCAACTACAAGCCTCGTTGAACTTTCGTTGAGTTCTGCATGAACAAGTGAAACTATCGCCGATCACAGTTTGCATCTTACGACGAACGTGACGAACAAACGTGCAGCGAGGGGGACTCCAGGAGGCAGCGAAGGGAGCTCCAGGAGCTCCAAGAGCAGCAGCTCCGACTGACGCTGCTCCGGCAGCAGCTGCTCACGTCACATCCCCTCCTCGCCGCCGCCGCCAGCAAGAACCAGCTCAAGACCTCGACTCCGGACGGTCCACGACGGCTGGACGTGAGCCCGAGGGGCGGCGGGGAGGCCTCGGGCGGGGGCGGCCATCTTGGCGGCGGCCACGTCGGTGCCTCACCTTCTCCTTCCAAAAAGGACAACGTGAATGCGCTGCCCAAGAACCTGTTTGACGTCCCAAAGTCCAGCAACAGAACGCAGGTGAGGGTGGGACAGAGGGGGACGACTAGATCTGGACAGTCGAACCTTTGTATGGCACGCAGTAGTAATAGCAACACTGTCTGTTGCGAGTTTAGAAAAACAAAACGAGCTCCTCCCAACAAACCAGTAACTCTTTCTACTTTAACGGAGCAAACTCCAGTAAGAAGGCAAGTTGAAAGAAGGAAATTGCCAATCGCGGTTAGCAGAGCTTTGTGGGAGGGGTTTGTCCTGCTACTCTAAATCTGCATCAGACCATAGTCGCTGACATGATAAGAACGGCGGCACTTTTTGTTTCAAACACTCCTCTTCCAGCACATGCTCCACTCTTTCCACTGTACTACGGCTTAATTCCTCAATTCTTAACTTAATTCCAAAGTCTGCCGGAGGAGAAGAAACTGACCGCCTTTTTACCATCTGGTTTTTCTATGACATTTTTCGCCCGATGAATTGGCGCCTGACGAGCCTTCGTCATGGGTCCAGGACCACCCCTCGAACCTGGAGTGCTCCGGAGCCGGGGGGAGCCTGCTCCGAGAGAAGGCCATCCTGGAAGAACTGCTGCAGCAGGAGCGCAGCAAGCAGCTGCTCAGCTACTCCCACAATGAAGACGTCCGGACTAGTCCGAGCTCCGGGTCACAGAGCTCGGAGCCGCCTGGAGGTGCGTTTCCGACGAGATCTGGGAATTTGATTGGGTTCGTTGTGGACGGCGGCGATCCGAGTGAATGTCTAAGGAGTTCGGGAGCGTTCCGACGGATGAGTAGTTGCGATTATGGAACTCTAAAGGGTGGCTGATGCTGCTCGTATGTCATACATAAGACATGCTGTTCACTGCAGGCGTGACGACTGACGTACGGTATAAACTCGTAATGGACATTGATAGCGATGAAGATGTCGTTCCGTTGTAAGAGGGGTATGCGGAACGCAGGTGCTCTTACTGTACAGACTTCAACGTGGATCATGACTGGAGTTTGTTCTGACAAGCGAGATCGACGAAACGGAATGAACGCTAGAAATAAAACGGATCATTCCAACTTCAGAATTTTTAAAGGTGGCCATTTTTCATCGAGTTTTACCAATGATCGTCGTCACTGCACGCTTTCGGTCGTACGAGGAGCCGAGAGGGACGACATCTGTTCGCAAAACGGGCACCACCGCTATTGAACCGAAGGTGCACAAGGTCCGACTGCCGTCGAAGAGTCACAATGGAATGGTGAACTGCTTGCAAACTTCCTAATCTAGTCCATTATATCCAAACATACATTATAACAGAACTTATAATAAGTTGGGTAAATGGCATAGATAAGAAGACAAACCAAAGTTAACAAATCAGTATGTCGTAACAATGCCTGCTGTAACCAGATCTGTTGCAACGAAGTTGCACCGTCTGTGGACGCGCGCCGAGCACGTCCAAAGCGCGTCTGCCTCGCATTCGTTCAGGTCCCGAGAGCGTCGTCGCCGGCGGCAACACGACGATTGCGGCGACCTGGGGCGGGTCCAGCACCCAGGAGAACCTGGAGGACGACGAAGACGACGAAGATCCGGTCGAGGACAGCATCGAGGCGGGCCGGGATTCTGAAGGTTGGTAGGAGGACGGACACGTTGGTTGCGTGACTCGTAGCGTCGGGCGAGCTGCCGTTCCGAACAGTATGCCTTTCGTTCCGGCGCGGTGCAGAAGGCAGTCGCAGCGACGTGGACGCCAAGGCGGAGCCTCCGTGGATTCCGGCGAGGGAGCGCGTCTTCAGCGTCCCGGATTCTGGTGCCTCCCTGGGACGAATGGACAACAGGATTTCTCACGGAAGCCTGGCCAGAGGTGGGGCGAAGCTGGGCTGTTGCTGGGACGAGACACAGGGTGGAAAACAGTTGCTGGCTGCTCATTTTTGAATGGGGGGAGGGGAGAGGAGGGAAGGGAAGGGAAGGGAAGGGAAGGGAGGGAAGGAAGGGAGGGAGGGGGGTAAGGGTAAGGCAAAATCATTGTGCATTGTAATTCATGGGTGGCAAAAAAGTCCAGAATTTGGTCTGATAAGAGTGTGGATGGTTCATTACACCAGCTAATTTTTTTAAACTTGTCTTCAGTATTATCTGTAAGCTGCTTCTCTCGAGATGCATCACCATTTGCTTTAATTGGAATCTTCGAAAATTTGGAAAAAAGTGTACTGAAATTATGCGTGCACAAGGAAGCGGCAGTTTGTGGGATCAGGGGTACAATTCATATGTTGGTATAACTGAAGACCAGGAACTGAGATGAATTGTAGCGACAGATTGGGAGATTTATTTCTCCCAGAGACAAATTGGGAGGAAGAAATAGACTATGCAATCGCTCGCCTGTTCCTGAGCTTGGTTTAGTAGGTGAGTTTAGCTTACCGGATAAGCTCAGCTTACAGGGAGCGACTAAAAACAAGCTAAACCTTGCTTGCTTTTTTTTTTTTTCTAGCTGTGACGAATGGAACCTGCCCACGACCCGGCGGCGGCCAGTGGGGCTACAACCAGGCCACGGGTGGTCCCATCCACCGGCAAGGCTCGAGCCACAGGGAGGCGCCCGTGGAGGCGGTGAGTCCGCAGGTAAGCATTCTCCCAACTCTCCGTTCAGTTTGCTCTTTGCATCGATGCACTCGGTTTCGCACTACTGTGGATCGCAACGGATGCTGCGCGCCGTCAGAGCCAATTGAAGGCCGCGGGAGCATCACGTGACCTTCGGGAAGAGTGCAGCAGTGAGTGGGGTGCTGCATAGGCTGGTGACTCATTCACGGCACTGGATTAGCCGGGAAAACTTGTAGCATCCGCTGCGGTCCACGATTGACCAGCTTGGAAAGGGATTTAATGCCCCTTTAACTGCGGTTAAGGTTGCCCGTGTGACTAGGCTATTAAACTTCGTAATGGCCAGTATCTTAGTATGCTATTAATAACTATTAATTGCATCCTTGATTTTCTTTTTTTTTTAACGTGTGTGGGTTGTTTACGATGTAATGCCCCACATTTATTTTTTTTCACCCCAAAGTAGAGATTAGTAACACGAAAATCTAGAGGTTGCAACATCGGTGTTTCCTGCATACATGCGTGTAATTTCACGGTCCTTGCGCGACTTCGTTGTAATAGTGAGAGAAAATGGCATCTGTGTCGGACATGCGTCGCAAGCAATAAGCTGCGATTGAGTTCCCATTGGCATGAGAGAAAAGCTGCAGGAAAAATTCATAACCATTTTTTTGATGTGTATGGAACTTGGGCAGTCGACAAGAGCACGGTTGGACGCCGGGCGAGAAGAATTAAGGCCTCGCAAAATTGAGAGAGGGAGCAGCGGGATTGGCCGCAGTTCGAGCGTTCTGTCACCGCCACCAACCCAGGCATGTTGCAGCGTGCCAATGAATTTATTTGCGCGAATTGGCACACTATAAGTCGACCCTTGGCCCTAAATCATTCAGTTTGCAAAGCAAATGCAATGCCAGTTGTATGTGTCGTCGGAGTGTGCATCGTAAGAAGGATCCGAGGGATATCTTTCATCTAGGGCAATGATGCTCGTCCTCGCACCATTCTCCAAACCCTTGAGGCAATTGCCAACTTTTGTTGAACCGTATTGCTCGATCCCCTCTACAGTCATGATTTGGCACCATCGTTTTTTCGTCTCTTTGAGCCACGGGCGCACATCGCCGAACAAGGTTTGAAAACAACAGCGTTATTTGTGGAGTGAGAGCACGGCGATGTGAGCAGAAGACGACCTGGCGCAGAGAAGGCGCGCGTCTCGTCGTTTCACACCAAGGTAAAGCCGTAAAACTGAGCAGAGATTATACAGAAATCTCTCGTTATAACGACGTCGCTTTTTTAAAATTATTGCTTTTATCGAAGTTTAACGCAGTCCCGACCTAAATGCCTGCATTTTGTGCCGGATTATCCCATATGACGCACATGTGCACATGCTACGTGCACATGTGCGTCATATGGGAGTGGGAGTGCTTGCTGAAAGTCGCTTAGATCTGCGAGGTTGAGAAAAGTGGCCGGCCCAAGTGCGAAATCGCCAAAGAATTCAACATTTTAGCATCGGCTGTTCGACACTGTCCACCGTTTTATTTGTTCGAGAAGTTTTGTTATGCAGGAGAAAGCGCACCCGCGACCTGAAGATGAAAGATTGCCAACTGCTTTGCACATGTCGGATATTCTCCGCGAGCATGCCTGCCGAGCCAGCGCACAATTCCCAAAGCTGCAACGGTCTCTACAGGAGTGTGTAAAAACACGTCTGCGGACGTTCCCGTTGTTGCTTCTGCCACGGGTGCTGCGACCCTAGACCTTGCGTGCAACCAGGGTAAACATGAGGCAACGTCGAAAAGGACTTTGGGAAACGCCGACGACTGCGGAGACACGAAACATCTTACGGCTGCTTCGAAACAAAGGGGAGTGCAGCGGCAGTGACAGTGTTCTTGCGATGAACGGAGCAGTTCGAGGAGAAGTGATGCCCGGATGGAAATTATCGGCAAACTCAACTTAATTATTTTTTTACTTGGTGAAACTGCCACTTGTTGTTCCTAATCAAGGTTTGTTTTATTAGATATACATTGAGAGTGTTCCCCGGTGTTCCTGTCCACATAAAAAACTGCTGGCGCTGTTTTTTTTTGTTTTTTTTTTTTCCTTTTTGTATTGTTTTTATTGAATTACCGCTTATATCAAATTTCTTTTTTTGCTATCCCATTGACTTCATTATAGACGCTTTACACACGCGCCAGATTACAGACGCCATTGCCGACCTTCTGTTGTCTTACCGAGATATCAAACCACTGAAGCGGGCTTTGGCGAGCCTCCACAAAGGCAAATGCCGGGGAAAAAGACACCGCCGTATCTAAAATGACAGTAACCTGTACTCCTGTGGTAATGATGGAGCATAGTGAAAAATGTAAGCGAAAACAAAAACTGAAGGGCGGTTATGGCGGCGCCCATGCGCAGCTGCTGTAAAGCGTCAATAATGAGGGATTACTGTGTGTAAGGGAGAGAGGTGCTGTAATATTTGGTACAAACTATTTTAAATATAGTTTTCTCTGCGGAAGCGTGAATGTCGTTCTCGAAAGTATAATGTGCACAGAGTGTCCAGTTTCGCAATTTCAAAAAGCTGCGCCAGAACTAACACCACCGGAGTTACATGGGGGTAGTTCCCTACAAACCTACCAGATGGCAGCACGTCCCCGCGAACGCGCCCGTTCAAGCAGAGGCGGGAATTTTTTAATGAGCAGTTTTGGACGTACATGTACATCAACAACCATGTGGGACGCTCCCATGCTGACGTACAGGTACGTCAGTGACCATGAAAGGGTTAATAAATGTGGGGCATTACTTTGTGAGCTACCCTTATAGCTTACTCGCCTCTGCAATGCCCTCGTGCCCCCGAGGGTATTTGAAGTAAATAAATACATTATTCAGATGAGCATATTCTTTACCGGCCGTGCAGGTTGCCACGGACGAGCAGGACGGTGCCGGCGAAAGAGTGCCGGGAGTGCCGGTGTTCCCCGGGTGGCACCAGCAGGCAGTGCACCAGTTGCACCAGCAGCTGGAGCAGACGGGGGCACTCTGCAACTCCGCCTTGCAGGAGCACCAGCAGCAGGCGTTCACGGGGGCGCTGTTGGCAACCTCGGCCGGAGCCGTCTCCCCAGGTACCTGTTCGACAAGCTTCGTCTTTCAAGCCTCGTTTTTTTTTTTTTATTATTGCCATATTTCCAGACTTTAAGTTACACGTATATAGCTGTATGTTTGATGTGGGAAAATGGCATTGATACGCCTGCATATGCGTATTTTGACTGCGGCAATGCGGAGGCCAGTTTGAATATTCTTGCAAACGAATCAAACAAGAAATATAATCCCTGCAGCAAATTTGCGCATTTGAGGTCCATACTTACAGATAAAAATGCGTATGAAATGCGCCGACAAAACGTTTGTTAAATGAACTGCGGGTCATACATACTACCTACCGTATCACCGGATAATATATTACTGCTGTAAAATGCCGGGGAAGTACCCACCCCACTTTCACTAAAAACTGTCAAATCAGTAAAAATCATGATGGCGACCAATAAAGAGCTTCCAAGGCAGGGTGAACGGGATCGAAGAAAGCACATTTATTTCCGCGTGATATCCCCGTCATCGCCACTGGCGGTCTCGTAGCCGCCTCAACAGAGGAAATATTTTTGGCTGATACCGGCGATTTGGAGGGGTTGGGTGCTTGCAGAATTCCCAAGTTTGCGAAATGTGAACAGTGGATTTTACAGCATTATTATATTTTGCTTCGTTTGGCTTCCTATATGGTTGTCGGTGAACTTGCAGGTGAAACAGTTTTGAAGGGGGCTTTTTCACAGTTTAGAATATTTCTTCCCAGAAATGAATTCATAATTGTTGTGTTCAGATATAGCAAGTGATATCTTGAACATTGTACCTTAAAATCAGTTTGTTCATTTTGTATTTATGCATTGATTTGAATTTTATGCACTCCATCATAAAGTTTGGTTACTCAAAAGCTTTATATTAGTAAAAGCATATGGCATTATATGGGTAATAGTGAAGCGAATTTGAAGTGTGCTTGGACTACTGACACGTGCATCTTTAGGTACTGATGTTTTTCGAGACACCGATATAGACAAACTTTTTAGATTGACCAACTTTTTGTACTAGTATAGAGAGGTTCTTCCGTACCGCTTCGACGTCTTTGCAACCAAAGGGTTTGCTGCGTAGCAGTTCTACCACGACTGCTCCATGCACGAGGCAAATTGCAGGGGAATTTTTCGGACCGGTTCGTTGAGAGACGCGGGCTGCGGCGGCTTTTCGAGTATCTGATTATCACTCCACGCGTTACCTCATAAGAAAGCCAGAGAATGAATCGGGAAGCAAAAAGCGGGAACATAATGGGCCACGCCCTGCGTTTCTTAATCTATCGGCAACCATACGTGACGAGCGTGAAATGCATGTTTCACCGGAGCAGATGCCCGCGCCCCTCCAGGCTCCGCCCAGCCTCGGCTCCCGGGTTTCGACGCCGTCCAGCAGTATGCCATCCAGCAGCAGCAGCAGCTTCTGCTCAGCATTGTCCACTGCTACCACCTGCTCAGCATCCAGCAGCTGGAGATCAACCAGCTCCAGCACGCCATTCAGCAGGTGCGGAAAGCCGATCGTCTGGAGGGACGGGCAGTTTGAAATGTGCTCCCGCGGGTGGTTGGCGCAGGATGCCGTAGTCGAGTTGCGTGTAACGTCGCAGTCGCACAACCTTGTAACGTTGTGCAATGTCGCAGTGTCACATGATATCCAGTGTTGGGTAAAGTGCATCTCGGAAGTAGTTGAAGTAAAGTAGAAAGTAAATAAGAGGTTATGTACTTCAAGTAAAATAGTAAGTACACCGGGCACAATGTATTTTAAGTAAAGTACTATAAGTATAAAAAGCACAATCTTTCATGATGCCCATGATGCCCTTTCATCCCTTTTTTCTTTTTAACTGGTATGCATTGCCCTAGGGGTAATTGGGGGGGCACCAGTTATTTTCGGAAATGGCGGCGAATATTGGATGAAGGCAAGTGGTCACAGGGTAGTTGTTTTACTCTTCCTGACAAACTATTTAACACAATCAACTTATAAGGCACTTATTTGTACCGGTTTTATAGCCACCATTACTTCTCAGAGAAATGAGTGGATAACAAAAAGTACCTGAAAAAAATACTTCAAGTAAAGTACAAGTATCTACTCGGAGAATGTACTTCAGGTAAAATACAAGTATTCTAAACTTCCTTGATGTGTACTTTAAGGACAATGTGCTTAAAGTGCTTCCCAACACTGGTGGCATCAGTGTCTCATCACGTCGCACTGTCACGTGGTGTTCCGATGCCGCGTGCCTCCACAATGTTGTGCGACGCCAGGGTGTTGCGCGACACGCCGACGTCAGGGTTATTTAAACAGATGGGCCCTATTAGTTTATATGCTTTACATGTGGCTTTACACTGTATCTATTGCTGGAACTTCTTACTGGAACTGGTCAGTTTTTTTTTGTAGAATTTGGCTGGTAATAGAAATTTTCCTTAAAACCCAACCACAGGGCAAGTCTTTTCACCAAAGTGCTATTCCTTAAAAGGGTTAAACAGAGGGTGTAGGTAGCGTCGGCGTTTTGAGGGTCATCTGTCCAGCGACTCAGGACGTGTTCTCCAACGGCAGGTGTGTTTGAACGGGGGCGAGGAGGCGCCCCCACTTGCCATGCCCCCCGCCTTCCAGCTCCCTGAGCATCCCCTGCAGGGCCCCCTGTTTCTGGGGGCCCCGTGGGCGGTGCCCTCCCCGGGGGGTCCCGTCGGGGTCCTGGCCCAGGGGATGGCCGTTCCACAGCAGACGACGTCCCACGCCGTCTCGGAAGCGAGAGGGGGCCCGCCCCTGGGAGCCACCCTCAACAACCAGGTGAGGGCGACGCCAGATGCGCTAAACTAAAGTAGCTGTAACAAAATAATTTGATGGCCTAGTTGGTTAAACATAGTACACGAAATTAGCACTCTGTCCTATCCACTCCTTCTTTCTGTGTTCGTCCTTTGCGCTAATTATGTGTACTATAAATTAGCTGCTAAGATATAAAATACCTCTGTGCAGTGTTTCATACTTTGGATGTGTCGCAGAATAGCAGTTTGGAAAGCACTGTTCTAGGGTGTTCATAATTTTTTTTTTTTTAGGACATTGCAAAAGCGTTGCAATAGTGTTGTGTGGATATCCGAATTTTCGGATAGTAGTTTCGAATGATACGCTAGGTACTTTTTGATATTTGCTTCAAGATGAACTGCGATATCCCATTCAGTGCTCTTCGTGTTTTGAAGCACGTAGCTTAGAAAAAGAAATCTTGAGTCGTAGTCATGCAAATACAGTGCATACAGTATACGAAAAATGGTTGTTGGTAACGCTGCGAAACATTTTTCGATCCAAAAAAGAAAAAATTATCCACAAAAAGAATAGGAAATATGCGGAAACGGTTGTACGCCGTCGCAAGTGTGTGAGCAGTCTTTATAGTCAAAAGTGTTGGTTCTGCTTTTCGTTTTTCGACCTGTTAATATGTCAGTTGAAGTAAGTGGTCCAGCACTGTTGCTAAAGGTACAGTCGGTACGAGACTGAAAATGCCTAGAACACAAAAACGAGTGCGAGTAAAAAAGAAAGTCCGACGTCGCGTTCGTTCGCGTCCTGTCTGCCGTCATGCGACGTCGATCGTCCGACTCTGGCTCAATCCCAGGTGGTTCCGGGCAGCAGGGCCAACAACTTCTGGGACAACTTCCGCAGTTACTCCCGCCAGAATCTCCTCTCCACCTCGGCCACGACTCCGCCCAAGACCAACGAGCTGCCGGCAAACTTCCAGGTCGGCGCGCCAATCATTAGACAAAACCATAGAGGTTTTGTCTAATGATCTTTTTTTTTGTGTGTAGTTTTTGGAGCCAAAATTAGTTTTTGCTTTTTCTAAGCAAAACTTGATGACATGGTCACTGGGATTACGGTACTTTGTTGATAGTCGCGGGGATGCCTCTATGCGACGGAATTAAAATGCGGCCCGCGGACCGAACGAGAGGTCCATGCGAGCACTCGATTTGCGCTCGTGACGATCTATGCCTCGACGAGCGTTCGGGCAGTGGCTCGTGTCCAGTCGCCGCAAAGATGGGAATAGCCGAACCCTAACAAAGTCTGGGACCTGGCACTTGCCCCATACATTGCCAACCCCAGTGTTTGACCAGAACATTGGCAGCGGTAGAATCGGCACTGGATCACGTGGCCGCTTGTTCTGGTTGCTAATCGAAAAAGTGAATGCCACTCTTTTTTTTTTTTTTTTTTTCAAATTTTTTGCAAGTGTTGTTGTGCGTAGAGATAAAACTGATGCTTGTTTTGTAGGCTACGAACGTCCAGGCAGTCTTGTATCCATTACTAAAACAGAGTACCTATTTACAATTACAATTACTTTGTTGGAAAATGTAACTGTTTACAGTAATCAATAGTTGCATCTCAAAAGTAATTGAATAATTACCAGAAGGTAATTTATTACTTTTCGCATTACTTTTTAAACTTTTTATTACGAAATCACAAATGAATACGTGTGTTCGAAGTCATTACATTTTGTTTTTTCTGGTGTCCCTCTATTATCTTCATATCTTTTTTCGTCGTCTGGAATCTTGTTGTCCCTTTTAGTTTAGGTGTAAAAAGAAGTGTCCAACATTGGAGAAATTTAAACGAGTGACGCACGGGCAGACATAGCACTTTTTCAGGTAAAAAAAAACTAACAATTTTAGCTCTTTCGGAAACATAAAATTGATTACAGTAAAATAGTAATTTAATTACAGTGCACATTACCAAAAAAAAAAAAAGTAACTGAAGCGTTCAAAAGTTGCAATAAAATGTAATTAATTTTAAGTAATCAGTTACTTGGAACTCGTTACGTACAAGATTACATCGAGCTAGATGTGGCAGGCCAGCTGTAAATGTTGCTGCCCAATGCTCGTCTTCTCTGATCTTTTTTTTTTTTTTTTTTTTTTTTTGTTTATGGCATTATTATAGGTTCAGCAGTCACATTTGGCCGGCGGTAGGAGTCCCGCCACGGCGGCGTCGGGAACCTCAAGACCCAAGCCAAGCTCCGTGCCGCGGCCCGTCGGCGAACTCACCGCGATAGTGCCTCCACAAGAGTAAGACCGGCGAAAGGGCGAGCATCGATCCTAGCCCGACCCCTACGTCTAATTTTGTTCTCGTCCTCCCGCTGCGCAGTCGCGGACGTCACATGCGACCCGTGGCCAACGTGTCGCTGCAAGACTCGTCGGCCAGGGCGGCCGGCAGTCGGCTCAACATCGGCAAGCAGCAGCAACCGACAGGTGCGTTTTGTTGTTGGTTCTTGCTCGAATGGGCAGGTTCGAGAGTTGTGCCGTAGCCATTTAAATTGCATTTGGGTTCTTATTGGGCCTGCTTTAGTTGGATCATGTAGTTTCTACACCCGTGTGTGGTTTTTTTTTCTCATGTCGTGTCCGGTGCCTACCCTCTTGGCTGCGCGTAAACGTGCCCTAGTGAAATCCGTAAAGCAGTTTGGTTGCCGTTTAAGAACCCAAGTCTTGTGCTTTGCTTGAAAGGGCATTGGGAGAGCACTTGCACAATAATGCTTGGCACTGTGTGCAGGTTTCATGTATTTGTGCTTGTAGCACTGACACTTCTGGAGCAGTGTTAAAATTGTCTTTATGGCTGTCGAATGCTACGGCTTTCTTACTGGTGGTGGGTCAGCTTGAACTTGCAGAAACGGCTGTGGGAAGGATGGAACGAGACAAAACAGTTCGAACTGACACGTCACCAATACGTACCAACTAGCTCAACTGAAGCCTGTAGCTTTCTTGCATTTGGCATTCGAATGGAGCCCATGATAAACCAAATGTTTGGTTTGCATTAAAGGGACCATGAAATGACTTTTTTACTTTTTCCAGATAACTTTTACATTAAACCATCAATGTTCACTGAATGCCGAACAGGCATCCGTTTTCGTCTCGGTTTATTAACTTCTACACAAAAAATTAATGAAATATCGACTTTTTCTTGACCGCAAAACAAGCCGTGACGTACGCTGCTTCCGGAACCGGAAGTTCTCTCGGCAGTTGGAGATGGGAGCGTTAGCGGCGACGAGTTGGGGTGTGCCGGTAGGTTTTAATCGGCGCCTCTCATCGCCGCATCGCAGCTGAGCGAAATTCAATGAGATACGTTGCGCTACAGCGACAGCATGGGACTAGTCCCATACGCCGTTATGCCTGTTGGGAAGTGCAGCGAGTCTTCCGGTGAAGACTCCAGAAGTTAACCAAACTGTCATTGTTGGTAAAAGGCGGCCAGTGTCAGTCGTTTGCAAAGCGACGTAGATGGAAACAAATTGCCGCGGCGTTTTTCGCGGTCTCGGAGATGCAGGAACGAGCCGACGTTAAAAAAGATACGTTTGAACTACGAGTGTCAGCAAGAGCCACGTAAATACCTGTTCACACTCGGAGTGGACGCGCGCGTTTGATGGAAGTGCTGTATTCGCGCTGTTGGTAAGCGCTTCGGGACCGATCTTTTACGATTGCAACTCGATACTGACGCGACACTCGGCAAAGAAAGGTTAGACCGGTATTGCGCGTATACCTCCCACGAACTGTTACAGCTCGACAGTGACGTGCAGTCTGTCAGAATAAAAATGGCATACCAATAACAAAGTGTACATACCGTGTTACGAAGGTAATCCATACAGCGTTTATTTCAGCTCTATATCACACAAAACAAGAAGAGAGAATTGACGAGGGTCCCTTTTCGACGAGTGTTCGTCAACCCTGCCTCGGAAAACAAGGGGAAGAGATTGACCTCACCTCTTAACCTAAAATTGAGGTCAGCGATCAAACTATAATACGGGAAGGGTCCACAAGGGTAGCGCGGGCATATTCCATTCAGCACGCCAGCCGGTCGTAGGCAGACAGACGGTCTTGCGACGAAGCAACGCTGCGCCGAGTCGGAGTGCCTGCTAGGCCTATATATCCTGAGAGCTTCGTAGGAGCGGGATTCGCGGCTGTTGTCGCTCTTCTCGGGTGTTTGTGGATCCAGCGTTCTTGTTCGTCGTGGTCTGTTTTAAGTACATTTTTTTCTTGCTGCTTGAAGTCGGCACGCGCGAGATGAAGACGTAGAAAAATAAACGTTCAGTCAGTCAGAGTTCTGAGAGGAAGGAAACCAAAGGAAATCACCGTTCTGAACTCGGCCCTGCCCTACTGCGCACGCGCAGTGGTTGCTTCGTTTACCACACGATAGATGGCGCTTGGCTCTCAGCATTATCAAATTTGGCAATTTTCGCCACACATCTCTAATTATGCTACAAAATGTGGATCTGAATATTATTTAACAAAACTTTTAGGAAACATTCGCCGGCTATTTATTGTTTACGATCGCGGTGCTGGTGAGGTAGGCTCTTACCCAATAGGCGACCTGGATTTGGCTGACGTGCTCCATTTCCGCGGATGCATCATAGTGAACAGGCGAAGGAAGGAAGGCGCAAAAGAGTCCAGTTTTCTTTTAAAAGTTCTATAGCAAATAATTTTTTTTGGCTCCCTAGTTTTGTGTTTTTGTGTTTCTTTTCACACCTTTTACGACGTGCGGTGGATGAAATTCGATTTTAAAATCATTTCATGGTCCCTTTAAGTGCTGTGGCTCATTTGTCTTGCATGCTTGAAGAGTGATCTTGTCCTACACCTTGTCTTTTTTCTGAATAGGGTTTCAAGATGGCACTATCCCCACGGCGGTTGCATTTCCCTACAGCCCATCTCCTCCCAGGTATCCTTGCACTTGTATTCGGGCATTGGATAATCACAGTGGTTGCACCAGGAGATGTTTCCCTCATGAATTATGGAGGAGAGTGATAAGTCTTATTTAGGAGAGGCACAATTCAAATGAGGAGGTGAAGGCTTGCTGTTGAAAAGCTAATAAAAACAGAAGAATTGTTTGCAAACGAAATATTCTGAAGTGATTGTCTTCTAGAACATCACTGCTTACCTACTTCGAAATATCTTTTTCATGCATAACCCTTTTTGTTTTCTCCCACACGAGGAATCTTAAAGGGCAACTTCGCTTCATTTTTGATAGTCAGAAAACTATGTAGCCCTCTTCAGTATCATATAGGAAGACCCCATGTCAAATATTACAATCTAATTCCGTCTATATATTTAATAAACTGGCCAGCAAACTTTCAAATCAGCCAAGTCGCGGAAATCTGCCAACTCCAGCGTGCGACGTGAGGTGCAATTGTCAGCAAAGTCAATGCAACGGAGTTGGAGCGGCCAACGTTGAGCCACTACGTCAGAGGCATGACTACGTCATTCTCACGTTTTGTTTGTTTTTACTTCTCAGAGCGAAATTGAACGATGACGTCATGAGTTTCTCCTCCCGGTGTTGGCTGACCGGGCGTTCACGTGATCACCGTAACGCGGATGCGCTAGTTTGCGCTGCCCTGCGTGCTTATCGGTCTGTTTCTCCGCTCCCCCTCTCCTCTTTCGTCTTCTCCCCCTCTCCCCCGGGCCATCACCGTCCACGCCATGCGAAGCGACCTGCCCGCGTCGCGTGTCCTGTCCCTCGCCCTCGCCTCGTGACGTGGCCATGACTCTGACGGCACGAGACCAATGTTTCCTGACGCAACCAAAGTTTCGGTTTCGGTATCAGCTGATGTTTAAATTAACATTACACAAATAATATTCCACATTTCGCGAATCCGAGGACGTAGAGCTGTTTAGTAGTGCTTTGTGAAATGGAATCACATGTACGCCTAAATTTTTCGGAATTGAGCGGAGTTGCCCTTTAAAGAAAGGAAGTAGAAATAACATGGTTTTGGTTTCAGTATTGACAAGCTGCAGTCTCAAGCTGAGCTTAAGACTGTCGTTTCTTCCCCCTTTTTATTTTTTGACATTTCTTTGCATTGATGCGTCTGTCTACGAGCCAGGCCCCCTCTTTTTTCTCTCTGTTATGCAAGTTCCTCAATGCAGTTTCTAAGCATCTCAAATGTTCTGTTTGGAAAATGTTGAGATTGAATACTGGAAGGTACACCTGGCACCTTTCTTAATCCTGCGAAGAACTCTTGAATTGGAATGAAGTAATTTTATGGGGACGACAAGAGTTTGAGAATCCCCTGAACCCGTGGCGTAGGGAATTTTCGGGTAACTGGGGAATTTCTTTAGTATCTAGGAAATTTACTGGCCTAGCACTTTTTTTTAGGTGTCGAGGGAATCTTTTTTTGCCCAGCGAATTCTCCAGATGTTCTGGGAATTCTTCAGGTTTCAGAGAATTCTCTGCCTTAGGTAATTCCTTAGGTACTAGATAAAAAAAAAGTGATAAAACCGAAAGTATTGAATAACAAAAATGATTATGTGGTTTGTTGCCTGGGGGCAACACTCCGCAACAAAAGGTTGGAAAATTCTCTCCGGGTGGCTAGGAAATTTACAGGGGATTCTCCGGGTGCCTTGGGAATTTCCTGGCCTAGGGAATTCAGCACTGTCTCGGGGTGGCCAACGTTGAGCACGTTCGCTTCCCAGCAGGTGCCGGCAGCCGGCCCATTCGCCTCCCCAGCAGCCGGCGAGCGAGGCGCTAAAGAGCTCCATCCGCGCCGAGGTGTCTCGTCTGCTCGAAGGCCGGGAAGACACTGCCAGCCTGGCAGCTGTGCTGAGGCAGCTGCAGTTCCTCAACTGTGGAGCGACTGGGACACTGCAGCAGCCTTCAGGAGTGCCACAGGCCTGCGGAGGAGCACGCCGGAAGGTAGGCCATGTTCTGCTTCGAGCCATTAAACCAACAAGGCAGGCTTACCTGCTTTGTTACTGGGGACGATGGAAATACTGTCAGAAAAGCTGACCACCACGAAGCTGCTCCTTGATCCCGTGTCCATTTTTAGCAAGGACGTTTAAACAGACAGGACTCGGCATGACGTCAGCCCGAGTGAAGCCGGAAGAGGCGTTTAATCCCAGACTGCCTTGCGCACCCGTTACGAGGCCGTGGGGTAGCGCACCGGCGGTTCGTCTGCTTTCTAATCTGCTCCGGCGTGTGCTTCACGAGGCCAGCTTTCGATGCGGTTGGCGTCCGCCGTGGGCGTCCACGATGCAAATGCTTTGCAGCGTGAGTGTTTATACTTAGTTCCACATTATGTGCGAGCTATTTCAGAACTGGAAGCGCGAGCCCGTTGTTCTGTGCGCTCCTGGCTTGCATGCACGCTCGTGCGATCTGCTGCTGCTGTTTACTAAAAAATGCGTTGCGCACCGCCAAGTCCTTCACGGTGCGTCGTCTAGAGCGTCTCAATTCTACTCGCTTACTTTCTGCTGGGCAACCAAGCGTTCGTTTATAATAATCTCATCCAATTCCGACCATACCAGTTTAAAAGTCTCCCGTTAAGCGCTGTTTCAAATAACAGCGGGTGCCGCCATTACTTTCGGTGCACACAATCACGTTGCCACCGAAATGTCATCGCAACGTGGTTGTTTGCACCGAAATTAATGGCGGCGCCCACTCACTAGGCTTCCCATTGGTCAAGAAATGCTCGTTGCGGCTCGTGGCCACGCCTACTTTCGTTACACTTCGCTCCATGCATTGGGGATAGGGACGCCACCTCCTGCCCATTATAACCTCCTTGATTTTTAGGCTCATCGCTTTGAGCAAGCCAGCTCTGTGTTTTGGGAAATAACTCCTGTTTTCTCGTTAATTGCATGTACCGAGAGGACTCTTGTCTTTCTTTATAAAGCTTACTGGGCATCTACATAAGGCTTACTGGGCTTGGAACCCGACGTGGCGTGTGTCGGCTGGGTTTCCTGACTGGGCGTTGTTTCGTCCTTTTCCTGCCGCGAAGATTCCCTCGTCGACCAAGAGCAACATCCCGAAGGAGAACCGACCCGCAAGCGGGGAGCGCCGTCCCGTCTTCCAGAGGGTGGCCTCTGAGTCCTCGCCAGACCTTGTGGCAAGCGTCGAGTTTGCGTTCGACAGCCGACCCAGAACCGAGGTTTTTCTGCTCTACCTATCTGCCGGCCCATAAGTCTGTTTCAGGTTTCGAATAGCGTGACACGCTCCTCCCGCAAAACGCTGCACTCTTTCAACTTTAGCAGAGGGAATGTTGAAGAGGAGGAAATTGGTTCATTACAAATCGTGGAGAGGAGAGAGCTTTGTGGAAGGGTCCTGTCATGCTGTTCTTAAGAGGGGACATGGGCCTAATTGTCAGAATGTTTTGGAAAAATTCATTTTTCAATTTTGAGGTTTTCGGTTTTAGAAACGAATTATACACCCTTACACTAAATTTCGTAGCCATGTGCCAAATAGTTATGTTGATATAAAATATTTTCAACACATTGTGAGGCAGTTACAAAGTAAGGGAGTTCAATGTTTGAATGCATTTTTCTCAATTCCACTTTTTGCTGCAAATTTCATACGAAGGAATCTTCTGTTCAAAGGTAAAATTATTCTGATACCACAATCAAGATGTTCCTGAACTGAAATTTACTGGAGGATCGGGCTATCTATTTTATTTTGTTTTAAGTTAAAGTTCTCCTTGAGAAAAAACTATGTTTGCAAAAATTTACATAGGACAGATATGCATCTCATATTTTGAGGTAATCACTCTTCTTGAGATGTTTAAATTAGAGTTATAAAAACTAGATAGACCAAAGTCCCACATCCTCCACTTTATATTCAAGCAGTTAAAATTATGCTTAATAGCTTCATTTGCATATCAGATTTCTTTACGAAGAGTGACACATCTTATGTAAAGTTGTCCTAGAGAGCTGAAAGTTTGCACAGTACACCTACATCTGAAGTTAAATCTCCCCTGAAAATTTCATTCCAATCACATGAGTAGTTCAAAAGTTTAACCTCTAACCAACTGTATATAGCTCCTTGCCACATTCTATTGTCTAGCTGTTGGCAACAAAATTTTCTTTATGCTAACGGTTCCCTTTTTGTGGCAAGGAAAGTGACTTGGGGAAATAACTATAGTCGCTCTAAATCAATAATGCAAATTATCGGCACCCAATGTTTTGGGTGCCGATAATTTGGATTTGTTTGATATTTCGGCCCTAAAGGAGGAATTGTAACCTACCCAATAGAAATTTTGCATATTCACAATTGATGTTTCAGATAGCTTGAAGTCCGAAAGTTTGATTTTTCGGACCAAGTCGTCGCGAGCGATCGGCGGGAAACATTACCTTACATTCTATGTTAGCTGCAGGTGGATTGGCTTCGTTTGGCAGTGCTATTTGAGTACTGCTAAGTCCTACCGCTAGGTGATGCTTTGCTGTGGCTTTTTTTTTTTCTCTTTAGCTGCGCGTCATTATCATCATTATTGTTATCGTTTTTCTTTGTTCATTCGACGCTCTGCAGTCTTTGACTTTTGCTTCTCGTCGCGTCTCGGTGAATCGTGTTTTCGGACGACGCTGGCTTGGACGTCATGGTTCTATCTGTTCTTCCGCCGCCGCAAAGTGTCGCTAAAAAACCCGTAAAGTACTCTACCATGACGCTAGAAAAGAAGGCAGTGATTCTCGAGCTAATAGAAATTGGCCGAACGCAAGCGGAGGCGTAACCTGAAGCAAGGCACTATTGACGGCTTTTTTAAGCCCGCTTAGACGTAATAAGGGCAGGTGTTTTTTTTTTTTTATCTGCCAATTTTTGGTCTGCTTTATCATTCGAACGTGTCCGAAAGTCCGAAAAATCGGTCGGCGTCTGTTCACCCTTTCTATGCCTTTTCAAAGTTTGTTGTTGTTCTTTCGCAGCATCCTCACAAAGTGTACTACCAGTCAGAGTTTTGTATGGCAAGACTTACTTTATATAGACTTGAATAGGCAGACATTCAAACAATCAACACACTGGCTGTGCAGATCTTCATCCAGAACTTGCCGCCAACCTTGTTTGTAGTGACTCGCTTTTCAAAAAACAGAAATTAGAAATGATGGAATGTGCCAACTTTATTTAGAGTATGTGACCGTGAAAAGCCGTGAAAGTGAAAGAGAATACACCGTGTATATTTTATGCATCATTCTTTTACCGCAGGCCCGAAAAATAATTCTGACAGTGTTAAAGACCCTTTCTCATGGATAGTGCGTGGACTTGATCTCTTAAATACTGCAGAACCTTCGGTCTAGTCATGCACTGATTGGAAGTGTTCCAAGGGTACGCCATGTATATCGCCAGCGGGTTCTTTCATTGTAAGTGTTTAAAGTGCACTCGATCACACTCAAACACAAATGCTCACTCCGGCCTTGCTCAGGAGACCCTCTCGGACTCGACGTTCGACAAGAACTCGTCTCGTGGTTCCACGTCTGTGACGGCGCGAAAGAGGACCAAGCCCCTGTACGCCCCAGCCGGACAATCGTCGCTTTCTGGTTCGTCCGGCGCTTCGGCAGAGAGAAACGTACGACTATTTCTCACGCACGACTTTGGATGCATGCAACTCGCAACTCTCGAAGGCATGAGCTTCCCTTGCGCGTGTTTGTTGTGTTTGAGCCTTTGGTGGCGCGATTTTTGATTCGCAAGTGGTTTCCCGCGTAAGACTTTTCTCGCACCAATATTTGGCACCCAAGATTCGTCGGGGAGGGCTTCGTTGTGAGAGTTTTTGCGTGTCGGATTTTGTGCAAGATTGTTTTTGATATGCGAGTTTGTCATTCTTTATTCCCCAAAGTTTTCTATCAATCAATAAATTTTGTATCGTTAGCTACACTGGCCAAGGTTGAGCAGTTTCGCGCGGCGGCGGTGGCAAAGCTTCGCATAATGAGCACGGCGCCGCGCAGTCCGCCTAATTTGCACGGCTCGCATAATGAGCATGGCTCATTATGAGAGCCACGCGAAGCCGCCACCGTGCGCTCCGCCGCCGCCACGCCTGCCTCGCCGGTCTGCGCATTCCAGAGGAGTGACGTCATAGCCGCAGCAGACGCACTGGCGCCACTGCGTGCCCAGCTATGCGCCTCCGTTGCACAGTAGCCAAGTCTGACGCTGCACCAGAGCCGCTTGATAGCGCCTCTCATTTTTTATTTGCTTTTTAAAATACAGTTCAAATGTTTCTGAGGGTTTTCTAGTTGGAACAGCATGGACCCTCAGATTATTGATATGTATATTTGGGTAGCATTGGTACCTGTCATTACAAAATTGCTGGTGGAAAAAAAACAAGAGTTTTGATTGTCTCCTTTTAGGGGCGAAGCTCCTTAGGGTCTAGCCTTATCCATCCGGCGTCCGTGCTCGCATCGATTGCACAGCCTCAGGGATCGGCCCACTTTTTAAAAAAAAAAAACGTACGCCCACACGGGGGTTCAAACTCAGGACCGCTTGCTTACGTGGCAGACGTCTTAACCACTACGCTACACTCCAACGTTGCATGTAGCTGCTCAACGTCTATACAGGAGAGGGCGCTGCGGTCAAATGCGTATATAATTGCGTTAAACTTTGCATGCATTGGCTCAACGTTTATAGACAAGAGGGCGCTGCGGTCAAATGCTCAACTGCGTATATAACCATGATCCATACCACACATTCTCTTTCTGACATGGACCGTTGACTTAAGTGGTGGCGATGCGTTCCCACAGCTTCTAGCGGATCCAACTGATCCGCTAGAAGAACCACTGGCTCTGCATTTCACCGACCATAAAGCAGTAATAATGAAGTTGAAACGCAACCCGGAACTCAGCACTACCTATGAACAATAAAATCAGTATCATCAGCACCACCAGAGCTTCGCCCCAATCAACATCATTCACCACATGGAGATGCGGCTTCTTTTTTTTTTTTTTACTTTGGAGGATTTTTTTTTTTGTATTTATTTATGAAGCGTTCAAATTCCCCAGAATGCCGGTTTAGGAAATTCTAAACTAAGCAATTCCCTGACCTAGGTGATTAGGGAGTTATCAATGTGACTAGGGAATTTTTCTAGTCACTCAGATGTGGGAGGAGGCTATTCACATTCAACAAAGTGTCAAGGTCTGCAATTGTTCACAAATATTCTTTAATCCTTGCAGGTTCCAGCTGAACATTTGGTTCCAGAACGGGACTGTGCGACAGACGAGGTAAAGAATGCCGTTCACATTTTGTTGGGCCCGCCTATTTCTGATGCAAAACTGTTTTAGTGCCAGTAGTTTGCTAGCTATTGACAGTGCATTGCAAGCTGTGAATTGATGTTAGTTCTTCCTCATTGTACTTCATTCAGAGATAGTCACTGGATCATCAAGCTAGATTACTTGCTGTGAAAATATGCAAAACAAAAATGCAGTTTTTTTTTTTTTTTTTTTTTTAGGATTTGTTAGAATGTTGTTGACTACCGTGAAATCCCAAGCAACCGCCTGCTCAAAATTTGTCAATTATCATGTACAACTGGGGGATGGGTGCTTCTTAGGTCAACAGTATTTAAAGATGTGTCTTTTGTGTATTATTTTCCAAATGTTACAAAATTGAGGTGTGGGCGCCTATTGTGGAGTGGAGGGTATTTGGTATTTTACGGTAGATCAAAAGAAACCTTTGTTACATCATTGAAAGAAAACCTGCATACTTCCTCTCCTTGCATTTGTTACATTTGCCATGGAAGCGAATGCAGCACTTTTGGGGCTGCAGTAATCAATTTTCAATTTTTCATACCCAAAAGCCTTCCATCCCCCCAAAAAAATATTAATCTTTTTTTGTGTGTATTTTTATTTGTATTTTTTATTTAGACAAAATTTTAAACTTCCAGAATGCCTGACCCCGTTTATTGATAGCCGTCTCGTAGGTTTCCCACTTCTGATACCTCTTGATTTTAGCTAGTGCTGCCGAGAGTTTAGTTTTGTCGTACCATCATATTTCTTTATCCTACCTCGTTGCTCTTGCTTAAACTCCACTTTTGCAACAACCTTCCCCCCACACACGGGACCAGCGACTATCCCCAAATAAACCTTCAAAAGTGAAACACGACGCCGGTGCCTCAACGCAGGAACAAGGTGCAGCTGCCCGGCCCCTCGACCTCGAACCCACGCTCGAACAAACCTGGCCCGAACGGGACACCACAGTCTACGTCCAGGTAATGCAGTCCTCCAAATTAACTAAGAGACCACGAAATTGGTTGTAGCCAACCTTTATAGATACCTTTTTAGTTGCACATCTCCCCGGTGCGCCCTTAGAGAAAAGGCGGCCCGCTGCGGTGGCTCACTGCGACACCACCAAGATTGAGGCTGACGATGGCGACGTCTGTGGGCGGGAATCGAGGGACTGTTTTTCTAGCACGCGGTAATCAAGCCGGTTGGAGGCGCGTTCTTGGCATCTTGGCGACGCTGCAGTCTAGGGTTACGCTCGAAGGTGATTGTCATCTGCTAGTGCCCCATGTCTGGTTTAGCGCGTGGTGTTCACGTATCCTGTGCGCTTGGGACCGAGAATTACAGTAGGCGTGGGAACTTGATATAAATCGAACGAGAAATTACAAACGTACAGTAGACTCATTAAGTCAAACTTCAGGGAGCCACACAGTTCGTTTGAATTATCAAAAGTTTGAAGTATCATAAATTCACCTATATATATGATGAGAGATAAAATTATGACTTGCAGTATGAATGGCTACACATACAAAACAAATATTTGATGATTTCCTCTACATAGGCCCACTGATCATGAGCAGGTATGCCACACGCCAATAATTTGTGAAATGTATGACATAAGTTTGTTTATCCCTCAAAAATTTTTCTTATCGTGGATTGTTCAGACAGCGCATGACAACTCAAAACAAAATTAAGTTTGTTCATCGACCCAAAAAGTTGCCTAGCATGGACTATTAAGTGGAGGACACGTGAGCAACGAAAACGGGCACCGCGCGGTGATTTTCATAGCAACTTGCGTGGACGCTGTGATGTGAACCTATGACATGCCACCACGTCGCAGCGTTTGTGCAAGTTGCTAGATAATTTTCCGCGTGCTGCCCATTTTCATAACTTGCGTGTGCTCCGCTTGAGCCTCGTCGAGTGCGCTTCTCACAGAGCACCGCTGCACTGCAAACAAGCAGCACCCGCAAATGCAAGCTCCGCGGGTGTTGCCTCTCTGCGGCGCACCGGTGCTCAAGAAGAAGCACACTCAACGGGGCCACGAAAGCAAAAAGTAGAAATTGCAGGAAAATGCCGTGCAAATTAAGAGACTTACAAATACCGTATTTTCCGTACTATAGTTCTCACCCTTGTATGAGTCGAACTTTCGTATATTGAGCCGTTTTTGCAGAAAAGTTGGTATACAAGCCGTACCTGTGTATAAGTCGCACCTCTTTGCACGGTTCACGCGATGAGTTTTATCATTTTACACGCATTGGTATCGCAAAATCGGAGGTGCGCACAATCGGCTAGATTGCAAGTACTCTTTGACACGCAACTTCGACGTTTTGACTCGTGAGAGATGCCCATAGCACGGCACTGTCTGGCGGGGGAAATAGAGTGATTCACAACAAAAGGACGTAAAACGCGCGGAACGAGAAGGTAGTCTGCTTTATTTGAGCGTACACATGCCGAGCAAACGAAAGTTGTAACGTGCCGGACACTCGTGGACCAAGCTTTGCACTATTACGCCTAGCCTAGGCCAAGTCCCAGAAACGACGCGAGCATTGATGTGCAGGCAGATAGATAAATCTTGACACACTTCCTTGGGTACTGCTAAAAGATTGGCTGACTGCAATCCTTCCTTTTACATCTAGCAACATGGCTGGAGCATGGCAGATAAAAACTGCTCATCAAACGGAAATTAAGAACTACGCAATAAAATTTTCTGCAGTGCGTGTATACCAGCCCTCTTACCTTTCAGCATTACTGGACTGAAGCAAAAGAATACAGAACCGTGACCGAATTAGGCAACGTCGATTACATGCTGTAAAAGTTTTATTCTCACTGTCTTGCCTATCCACATTGAGCCGCTTCAGGGAAACCGTAAAATTTTTCGCTTCCTGAGTCTGTTAAGAAAAGTGTAGAAGAGTGGTGACAACTGTGCCTCCTGGGAGGGGCAACACCACCTATGGCTACGTAGTTATGGTGATCCCCAAAAGATGACGCACGGCTCATAAAAAATATTGTGTCGCATTATGAATTAAAAAAAAACACATATAAGTTGCATTGTTCTATAAGAAGCACCAAGAAAAATATTTGAAAAAAACCGACTTGTACACTGAAAAATATGGTACATTAAAAACATAGCGGGACAGCCAACATTTTGAAATTTGTTTGATTTAACCAGAAGTATGAAATATCCAGGTTTGAATTATTAAGAGTTTGCTTTGTATTCAAGACCTCCCACTGAAAGTTTGGGTAATGTCAGATGTTTGTGTCGCTTAGTCAGCGAGGTTCTCACCTGCTTCTTTTGTCGGCCCCTTCGATGACCAGCCGCTGGACTTGCTGCCGTCCGCCAACAAAGCCGCCGGTGCCGACGTCCAAGTCCCTGTTTTGGACAATGCGGGGCTCCCACTCCTTCAAGAGGTACGTCCGCACCTGGAAAGGAGCAAGGAAATCGCCTCGTCAGGTTACGAGTTGTTTCGGACCGGGTGTTTTGACGCGTGTGCACTTTCAGCCCGTGGGAGCGGTTCGAGCTGCAAACCCAGAGTTCCAGGCGATGTACGGCTTTGAATTGGCTCTGCTGCAACAGTGAGTTCATGTCTTTTTTGTCTGCGTTTCTGGTCAATGAGGACTTGCGTCTTTGATTTTCCTTTTATTTTGACTGCCAGGGAGAAATTGCTTCTTTAACCGTCGAGGTATGTGGGTGGCAAAGAGGCATTTTAGATACAGTGTGGATGTTCTCAAAAGAGGGCTTAGAGTGTGTTCCATTAAAGTTCCAATGGTTCTACATTTTTCTTACTTCAAGAGCAACTCTGCTCAATGAAAAAATTTTCGGGATAATGGGCGATTTCGCCTTGAGACAGTTTAAGGAACGGCCCAACATTATTTGTGTTGAATAAACAAATATTTTTTGTGCAATCTTGATTTAGCGATGACCAGAAATGAAAACTCCTGCAATGGACGTTGTCGACCTTGTGACCACCAATCTGCTACGGACAGTAATTTTCTATGCAAACTGGCACATCTATACGAACAGGCCGTTCTTTTCTAAGGAATTATACATAGTAGTATTTGACTTAAAGGGCCCATGAAACGAATTTCGGGCTGGGATAAATGAATTTCAATTTGAATTTTACTACTAGCATATCGTTTAGTGGGCTAAAAGAAGGAAGGTAGAAAGTCAAAAGCCCAATTTTTGTTACGAAAATTTGAAAACACAGCGGACTATTTCGTACTTTGTTCCCTTCGAAAACTCTCTGCCTTTTCACTGCGATATATCCGCTGTACCCAAAGTGCGTCACCCGGCCCAAATGCACGTCGCACGACAACGGACCTCACTCATTCCCTTCACCCGTAAGCTGACAGTGCGGTCGAAGCTCCGCGCTTGCCGAACCAATCAACCGCCTCCCTTTCATCACCTGACATCATTCTCTGCGCGCGAGTATGCGCGAAGGAGCGTGACCATGTGGCAAAAGTGTGACTGGCCCAACGAGCACGTAGCTTCCATAGTACTGTCAGCTCCGGGGAATGAAGTGGGGAAAAAAGCAATTTTAATCCGAGTTTTGAGTGACGGGCCAATCTTTTAGGGGGAGAATGGCAGTGTCCAGGTACACAAACGAGTCTCCTTTCCGTCTTCTTGAACTGTTTGGTGCAATGTGCGGTTTGCGAGTTGAGGAGGAAAGCTGAGAAGGAAAGAGTTTAAAAATCATTTCATGACTCCTAATATTTTCCCTAAATGATACGAGGGTTAAAAAAATATCCTGTCTTTTTTTTAAGTCAATTAAATCAGATTTATTTGGTTTAAATGACTGTAGCCAGAAAATAGTGACTCCTTATCACTAGTCATGTGTATCTTAAAACATGGTCTGATTTGCTTGCAATAAAGCATACTTTTGCTGACTTTTTTTTTTTTTTTTTTTTTCGTTTTGATTTGCTTGCAATAGGACATTGTGTAACTGACGAACAAAGTGAAAGGTAGAAATAAAGCTCTATGATCCGATTTGCTCAGAAGAGAAGGGCTCTTTGCTCGTGTTTATTTAGCTTGATATAAATCTTTCTTGCTTGATGATTCTTTGATTTTTGTACAACACAAATGCACATATAAAGCATCAAATAATGGATAAATGGTAAATAAAAACTATTGGTGGGATTATTCTTGCAGTAAAATTTTGATTTAGATTATCACAGTAAAACTGGTCCAATTTAAGTCACGATTTAAATTGGGATTTAACTCATCTTGATTTTTATTCTCCACTCTGGTTAATACTAAAGTCAACTGCATTGTTTCCTGAACTGGAAAAATTTAGCAGAGTTGCCCTTTAAAGGTCGGTTCACACATACATCACAGCTCTAAACCAACACTAAAAACAGCCCTGATGCAGCTCTTACTTCAACATAGCTTAGCACTGATGCTGAGGTATAATAGTGCTAAGTTGGGCGGAATCAGCTAAGTGAGCGCTATATTAACGCCAACCAATAGTGCTTAAGTAGTGCTGTGGTGTAAATGTGAACAGGTGTCCAGGCTCTGCTTTACCTAAAAATTGGGTTGTGTGTGTGTTTATACAGCCTAGAACTTGGTCTGCCTCACAGGGGCGACGAGTCTCCCAGCTGTAGATGAGAAATTTAGCCAGTGCGGTACAACCGCTAGCCTGGGGTCTTTAACGTGCATCACGCAGTAGTGATACACGACCGCACGCCGGTACGATGCTCATCCAGATCGAAACGGGCAGGGGTAGGGCTCGAACCCAGGATCCCTGGGTTCTGCAGCGCGAGCTTTCGCTCCACGTGCTCCGAGCTGGTGTGCACTAGACCACTCGGCCACCGATCCCCCTGCTTTACCTAAATAGATAAAAGAATGTCTACGCGGAGCGCAACTTTGTCTGCTTCTTGCACAAGGGTTGCGATGATGTCAGAACGTTGAGCTCTTATTGGTCAATCGAAAAAGATAGTGAGTAGACCTCAAGGCATCTAGCATAGAAGTCTATCCACTATCCTTTCAATCAAAGCCAATCGGAGCTCGGCGTCATTCTGCCGTCACCGCGACTCCTGTGCAAGAAGCAGACGACATGCTCTACGCATACCTTCATTAAAGAATTATCTTTTTCTTTCTTTTCTTCATTCTTTGCTAATACAGGGGCATCGTAGCCGGCGGTGAGTACCAGGGTGAAGAAGCCGAAGACGACGAGGATCGCGAGCTCGAGACGGAGCCAGAAGCCGAAGGGACTCAAGACCTAGCCGAAGCCGACCAGTCGCCAGCGGCCGAACAGGACGCAGCCGACCAGCAGCCCGAGGACGCAGCCGCCCCAGCTGCAGTCGGGGTGAGCTTTCTTCTGGTCGCCAATAAGGATTTCTTGAAATTTTGGATTGGATGCTGGATTGAACCTCTCTATAGACGCTTTACACACGCGCCAAATTACAGCCGCCATTGCTGACCTTCTCTTGTCTTACCGAGATCCCGAGCAACTGAAACGGTAGTTGACGATCCTCTACAAAGGCCGATGCTTTGGAAAAGGACACAGTTGAATCTAATGTGACAATAACCTGGTCTGCTATGGTAAAGATGAAGTGAAATAAACGAAATAAGAGGAAACAAAAACTGAAGGTCAGTTATGGCGGCGTCCATGCACAGCTGCTGCAAAGCGTCTATAGTAAAGTGAAGGCTGTCTCATACAGTTGCACTTGACTGCGACAGACTGCGGTAGGATCCCTTCTGACCTGCATGTGTATCTTTATTATTTTGTACGCACGATTCTTTCACCGTGGTCTCGAAATAATTCTGGCAGTGTTGTGAGCAACTATTTCTCGTAGATAGTAGTGTGTAGGTTTGATCTCGATAATACTGCAAAACCTTCACTCGCGTTATACACACGTCTGATGTGTTCCAGGTCTAGGAGAAATCGCACCGCACTCAGTCACTTATCAAATGCAAATGTGTGATCCAGCAGAGAGGAGCATCGTAGAGGATTGTCATTGTCCGACCTGGGCCCATGTGCCGTGGTCGCTCGAAGAGGATTATGTATTTTGCTCGTTAGGGTTTTGTCGTTGAATTACACTACCAGGTGGATCAAGCTGCTTCCGATTCATCTAACCTCTTCGTCGCATTCACTCCACTCCAAAACCCAGGCCGTCGGCGGAGGAGACGGAGGTCCGGCTGAAGTGCTCGTGGCAGACGACGGAATGGCCGCTAGGCAGGCTGCGTCTGTGAGTCGATCCCTTGTTTGATGGAATCAGAATGTGCCTGATGATGATGATGATGATGATGGGTGATTTCTGCCTGTTTGATGACGATGACACTAGGTGATTTCAAACAGTCTGAACCTGACGGTCTGAATGTGCACGAAAGGACTACGTCGGTCACTGAAATAACTTGATCCCTCGCTTTTCGCTCTCCCTTTTTGAAAGTAGCGGACGACCTGTGTTCGACTTCTTTGTCTTTCTTTTGAAACGCAGGACACTCCAGATGTGCCCACTGAAGATCCGCAGCAGAGGGTCGATGGGGAAGACAATCCAGTCCGCCAGCATGACGGCGTTCCCCAGCCACCACCCTGTAGGAAAGCTTTGTGCTGCCACCAATTTTTTTAATGTGTACTGTAATGTAAAGATCGGTTTCCACATGCATCGTAACTTAGATAATCCAAAGCCAGCACTGCTTCAGCATTGCATCAGTGCTGCATTGTGTGTGAGCAGGTCTCTATGATTCCTCCAAATCAATGGAGCAAGTAACCTGGTTTCTCATAGTACCAGGCTGGATCTTAGGCTACTTCCGTTAGAAGGGACCTTCGCCATGAGCAATGTACAACATTGTTCATTGCACATCTTGGAGGATCGCATGTTAAGTCGCGCGCTGCTCCTGCCCGGTATTGCCGGTAGAGCAGTTGCCGGTGGTAGGGGTGTGAGCACGTCCACTTCGAAACCTAGCAAAACAAATATTTTGGCTAGATATTTTGTAGACATGTTCGGAATCGGGAGTGTATGTTTGATAAATGCTGCAACTTTCTGGCATAAAGCACTATGGTGTTAGAAACTGCAACTATATAGGATTGGCACAGGAAGGCAATGTTGAAGTCTCCATAAATCGCTTTGGTAGTTTTACTCCTTGTGGTTCAGCGTCCAGAGCTTATTTCAGTGGTCGTAGGAGTAGCATTTTGCAGGTTCTGTTATATTTGTTAATGATCTCCCTCAAATAGTTTATTGCTCCTAACGTATGTAGTTCTGCTTTGCCATTGCACGTGACAGAGGAAAACCTCAGAGTGGCCAGTTCTTGGCCCGAGGGATTTTTAACCCCTTAACCGTTTTGAACGAGCCTAGATCGTCAAGGTGGAACAGTCCACGAACAGTTCAGGGCGAGTATAGCTTGTTTGCTTTCTCCAGTTCATACACTCAATCGGTTTGGACGAACCAGATTCGCTCATGGCTTAGTTTGAGTTTCTGCCGACAGATGTCAGCACTGAATTTGTTTAAAAAATTCTTCCAATTTGTTTGTGGCTAGAAACTTGACTTTGGAGGCAACAAAATAATTTTGAAGACAACAGTTAAGCAGTTGAGGTTCAGAAATTTCCAAAAACTAAAAAATGGTTAAGTGGTTAAAGAGAAAAAAAAAGAGATTTTGAGTTGTATATAATTTTTTTTTTTTTGTGTGTGTGTATGCACCTTGTGGGTTTTGTTTTGAACAAAATCTAGTATGCCTAGTATATACTCTTGTCAGAGTGACATCAGGGTTAAAACTTTTTTTTATATATTTTCAGGTGAATGAATGCTGCAAGAGATTCTCACGTGCCCGTGGCCCAAGTATCCTACATTCTTGAGTTGCTGTTCTTTGTTTCGTTCTACTTCTCATACTTTGTTTAACTACTTGTTTGGTTTTACTGTATTTATGTTTCTCTTGCTAGTGGTTAATAAACAATGTATCGTTAAATCTGTACACATGACTTGGCCCCCCACTCAGAGCTGGGGGGGCAAGCGTTGCCCCACCGGTTGGGGCGCCCATGCAATCGTGCTACACCCGCTCAGTACGTTCCTCACAGTATCCAGATTCCATTTCCCGATTCTACCGTGAACGCCGCCGTTTTGGTTCTTACTGCGACTTCCTGCGTGGGATGGTAGTGACTGTAATAAGACACAACCAGGGTCTTCTACTCCGGATGATGTAACTTGATCGTTGCGTCTGCCACGTGGCGTCGCTCGCGTCAACCTTCGACCTTACCTTCATAGCCTCATACCAGCGCGCGCGCGTTTAGCTTCCCCGCTGTGCACCGGAGTGCTAGGAGCAGCGGCCGTATGGGGAAGCGCATGGGTTCGCGCGATTGGCTCGGTACTATTGCGGGACTACCTTCTTTGATCTTGACAAAATTGACCATTAATATATATATATATATATATATATATATATATATATATATAAACTGTGCCGAAAAGGAGAAAAAACACGGGTTTTGAATGAATACGACTAAGTACGGTAGTCAAGATAGTTCCAGTGCAGCAGTCAATCGAAAGGGCGGCGAGCTTTGACTCAACCCTGGTTCCTTATGCGCAGTGGCACTTTTAAAGCACCAATATATGCTTTCATAATAGTTGTGGGTGGTTTTTGCAGTTTCTGATATTATACATGATATTGAGTTTGGTTCAGTGGCATACCAACACTTAACATCTGCGCCACTTGACATCTGCGTTTTCATTGTCTTTTTGACCCGTCTCCAGAGCTCACGCGCTGAAGGCTGGCCTCGAGACTGTCGGTTGGTGACCGAAATAATCTATTCGTGATTAAGGACAAGGATATAGTTTTTTTTTTTTTTTAAGGAGTAGCATTGGTGTTTTATGTGCAATGGGGCACTTCACAGGAATCTAAAATTCAGGTCACGTACCTTCCAAGTTTGTGGGTATTCTCTTCCGATTCTCGAATCCTGTCTCTGGATGAACCTGGCACAGCAGTGCGTAGCTCTCGGCAAAAATAGCTTATTGCACTCACAGTCTGCTTGGGTGTTTAGGGATCGGGAAGGGATCATCGAGTCCCAGCGCAGCCATGTCTACACCGTATCATGGGGACGTCGCCGTCGAGGGTCGGATTCGGGGAGGGGGGGGGACAGACCGTGGTACTGGGCCGTACTCCGACGTCGCGGTTAGAGCACTGCACGGGCCGGAATTTCTAGGCACGGCCCGGCCCGGAAGAGAGACTGCCCGGACCCGGCAGCATTTTTAGGCAGAAGCGCAAGCCCGGCCAAAGCCCGACATTTTTTTTTTTTTTTTTAATAGATGCTTGAGTCCAGTTCGAGGCCGACAGATTATATACATGAGTCCGAAAAAGTTTCCAGGCTTTGACCTAAAACTGTCTAAGCATAAAGCGAGCATATCTTATTTAAATTTATTTTAAACTTACACTGAGTTTTTCTAACACGACAAACATCCCACTTAGACTATGTATTTTTGAGAATATGGGCGAAATATGCACTTCATAAGTGATTATAAGAAGGAAAAAGTGGGCAATATTTTATTTATGCATTTCTTGGAGATATTGGACTTTTCATTGTTCAAATCGTTTCATAAAGAACTTTCCCCCTGCATGTTTTTGTGAAGAAGCAATCATCAGAACCACGCTAGTGCATCTTCAAAAGGCTGTAGAAGCATAAAATTATCTATGGCAATTAGCTTATATTTGGTGGAGTAGTAAGGCCCCCCACAAAATGCAAAAATAAAGCTCAATTTCTTTTCTTTTTTTTTTCTTTTTTTTTTTTTTTTATACAGCGGAGTTGAAGCGGCTTTGCAAGGACTTTTTTTTACTGGTTTTTCATTTGCACCGAAAATGAGCGCACTGAACGTAGTAACTTAATGAAACTTTTCTCGAATTTCGCTTTATTTTAAACGTTATAGTCAAATTAAGATTACAAAGACAAGCTCCTTCATGACGTCCTTGGTAGGAGGGGTAGTGAGCTCGGCGAGCGCCCACGGCTGCCGCACTCCGTGTCGGCGGCTCGGGGGGCGCCACTAAAGCATGTTCTGGCTAGGCTGTGTGAAGCGGGCAGCCAGGGCGGCTCGCATTGCATTTGCTGCGCGATTAAACACTAATTCGGCATGACACTTCATGGGCCACAAGCGACAGCTGACACGGGGTAAAGACCAGTTCAGAACGGGAGCCACTTTGCGCTGCCATACCGCCAAACCGCAAACCAAACCTTATCGCCGAAGGCCTTCGAAACGGTCGCGGTCGGATCCTCGAGCCCGTAACGACCGCAACGCCGCCGCGTACATCCGGGACCTTTCTACACTCGCCGCTCGTCGTGGCGTGATCCCACTACACCTTTCTAGTATGCGCCGCCTTTTCCACCGCTTGGTGGCGGGTATGTCGACGGGTCATTTCTTGTTTCCGTAGTTTATAAACTGCATTTGTTTCTTTTCTGATCTAAAATACTGAACAAAAACTACATTTATAAATAATTGAAGCGGTTCGCGCCTCTTATATTTTGTATTTCGACTAAAAAGTTTTAGCGGCTCTGACCAGTAGTAAGCCCAGGACCAATGACTTCACATTTTTCGCGCTTTCGGCACCGCGGGCCGCCCCCGTAGGTGGAGGAAGTTTCCGCGTCGTCCGGTTAAAATATGACGCACTGATAGTTACTCTCTCCGTGCCCGCTGGCTTGCCCGAACCCCAAGAGACGCGGAAATCGCAAAAAAAAGGTAGACGCTTAAATATGATTGCAGCAGGGCCCATTTAATGGCTAGATTCCCCAGGATCGTATCTGGTACCAAACAAATGTCGACGCCCGTGATCGACACAACACTCTGGTTGCCACCGTAGAGCGTTGTCTGCTTGCCGCCGTCGCTCATAGATGGCGGCAACATTTTTTCGGAGGAAGAAGAGCGGCGAACGGAACGAGTGGCGATGTGCGCAGCAGCGCGAATGGTTCCGCGACCGCCGCGAGGCCGCTATCGCCTAGAGTTGCACTGCTTCGAGCGCTTCAGATTCCCTTGCGAAAGAAGAGCAGATCGCTCGCCTGGAAAGCCACCGGCGAGAACAGAAACTCTCCGGTGTTCTTCCTTCACCAAAGTGGGAAGGCTAAACGTTTTTTTTTTTTTTTTTTTTTTTTAGTTTGAAAGGCAGAGGAAGAAGACACTCATGTTGCACCCTGCGACTAGTAGTGCCCTGGTTTTCTTGACCGCACTTTCCCACTATGCTGGTAGAATCCATGCCTTTCCTCTTATCCACTTAAAGGCTTACAAAACAAAACCTTTTTTTTTTTTTTTTTGAACGGCGTTGGAGTGATTTTGCATTTCTTGCTTGTTTTTTTATTGAACCTAAAAGATCAGTGAGCACACCTTTTGTTATCAACAATTTTGAATTTGCGGCAACGACTGCCCCTAGCGGTTAAAAGCCAAGTCGTCGCCCGACGTCGCCCGTTCCTTTCGCGAAAGTCCTCTTCCCAATGCCTTGTGCTCCCTCCTCCCAGCCTCCTTTTCATTGTGCCGCTCGCCAGAGCGCTGTCTACTGCTGGAGCCCGCCTTCCAACTCTGCCGCACGTTCAAGCCCTCAAGGCCCTCACCGAACGTTGGGTAATGACAAGCGTGAACAGCTGCTTATTTACTATTGCGGAATGCAAATATGTCTGAATATTTTGTATGTAAAACGCTGAACCAGAGTTGTAGATACACTGCAAAATAATGAAATAAACTGAGCTGGTGGTATCTATTAAAAACTCCCTAAGCGACTTGGCGCCCGCAGTTGATATTGCCGGGAGCGACTAGGGCTCTACCAAGTCATCGTCCCTGAATATTTGTTCTTTTAGTCTTAATTGTGACCGTCAACGAATCGAAAGTCTATGCCTCCCCAAAGATTTCGTGCGCCTCCCCACTGCCCCCCCTCCCCCCTTCCCCCCTTTATGAAAACCCTGCCGGCAACGAACAGAAAACAACAGTTCTAGTGCCATACTCTAAAACAGTTCCGGAAAAAAGAATATAATAATAATAATAATAAATGAATAAATAAAGTATACATATATATACAGTATTTTTTTTTTTCTCGATCGTTTCGGAGTGAGAAAGAAATGGTAAGCTTTTCGTCTAGCTCTATTTTGCATTTTGTGGGCATTTTGATGGGTATTTTTTCTGTTTAGTTTTGTAAATCATAGCTTACGAGTGTTTCTTGAATATATTGCGTGAATGGAGTTTTCAAAATTTAGTCAATAATCGTTAAGGCGCATTACGTAGTTCCAATAATATGTTTTCCGTCTAAAGTTGTTTAGACTCTCTGGCGGCTATACACGGAAACATTACCAATGACTTGCTAATTTGTTTTTTTGTTTGGAATTATTTTCTTTTTGCGCAGCCATATAACTTCGTGATCTCTTGTGTCAGCTATTACGACACAATTTTATCATCTGCTTGCGACTCATGTGAACTTAAAGCGGATGCTGCGCGTTTCGCAAAACTGTCGACCCTAGCTTCGTTCGAGTTGCCTGCACCTAATGCACGCGCGCTGAAAAGTGTTGGGCGGTACCTCAATACACATACCGGAAATACACTCCCCTACACTTTTCTGCACCGGTGCAGGAGGTGGAGGTAAATCGAACGAAGCTCCTGTCGATTTTTGTAGCAAATGACCCTTGCAGACGACGCGACGTGACAGCGCGTTACGTCGTCTGCTACACGCGCACACAAAATGGAGGACCGAGGTGTACGTCAGAACATGGCCGCGCTGACACCGGCTTCCGCGCTGCCAGCTCCAGCGGTCTGGAGCAGTCGCCATCGATCTAGCGCTCTACGCGACTTCCGCTAGGGGAACGCTTCCGCCGCGTCTCGCCGCCGTCTCTTTGATCGCTTCATCCTCCATCCCGGCATCACCGGAATGGCACCACCTCGCCCTTCCATCACGGCCCAATGCCTTCATCCCGTTGCTTCCTCCCAAACCCCAAAGTCCCGCCGCCGATGCGACACGCCAGCCGGTAAGTCGGCTTAGTCGATTCAGTCGACGCTAGGTTCAGTCTCACCTTTTCCCTCGGTCCCGCGGCCGCCCGAGAAAACCGTTACTAGCAGACGATACGCGATAGGTCGCTTCCTCCGCATAACGTCGGTCGGGGTATCGCTTCCTTTCCGCTTCGTCGTGTCTCTAGATCTTTCTTTTTTTCGCGGTTCGTGTTCGGCGTGAATTAAGTTTACTATTTAACGAGTACCGGACTGATTGTAATTAGTATTTCCGGACCAAGGATATTCTGTATGTTTCTCAATTCCTATAATAGGTAATGCTACATCTGCAGATCAAGTCCCTTTGCCCCGCCTCGCTCCCTCAACCTTTTTTCCAACATGAAATGTGGCTTACATTGTCAATTGTCACACCATCTTTATATATATGTATATATGAGTATACGCATATTTAATCAGCAGTGAAGCAATTTTGAATTTGTATTTCCCGAATAACTACATTTTGAGGTTACACTTCGTCTGCAGATCAAACCCTTTCCCCCGCCTCGCTCCCTCAACCTTTTTTCCGACATGAAATATGGCTTATATTGTTGATTGTCACACCATTTTTATGCTATATGTACATGTGTATACATGAGTATGCTTAAATTTAATGAGTAGTGCAGCAATTTCAATTTGTATCTCCCGAATAAGGATAGTTGCGCGTGTGTGTGTGCGTCGTCTCAATTTTGAGGCAATGCTACGTCGGCATATCAAGTCCACATCCTCCGCCTTACTCCCTCAACCTTTTTTTCAACATTACATGTTGCCTACATCGTCGATTGTCACGCTATTTTTATATATGTCTATTTTTAATGAGTGGTGTACCGATCACAAATTATATTTCCAGTATAAGGATATATATATTTTTTTTTACTGTGTCTTCCCGAGGTTACGCTCGTCGACAGGTCAAGCACCCTTCCCCCCTCAACTCCCCTCAGCCTTTTCCCCAAACTTAAAATGCGACTTGCATCGTTGATTCTCAAACCAATTTTTTTTATATATATTAATTGCAATTTGCTGACGAGCGTAGGCTTCCTATCGGCCGTTTTTATTTCGTAACACTACATTTCTCCCGCGGAGGAAATACAGATGGTCCGAAGAACCGTCGTTGCGAAAATGACTGTATATTGATCGCTCGCAAGGCGGCTCTTGAAACTACGTATACGCCAAATTAAAAAAAAAAAAAAAAAAAAAAAAAAAAAAAGTTCTGGGCGAAAGGTTACAGCTAAGAATACAAGTGCCCGAGTGCAGCTCTATTGAAGACGCGGTCACGGGGTAGTTTCTGTCGTGTGCCTAGATTGCAGAGTGAATTTTCGACTCGGGGTCACGTGGTTTGTGGGCCGTGTTTGCAATGCGAGCTGCGAGGATGCGCCGAAAGCGTTTATCGTCTGCAAACCTCTCTGCCTCTTCGCCCGCTTTCCTTCTCACCCCGCGACTGCGCAACGCATGCGCAATCGCGCAACTTGCGACCGATTGGCGCAGGAGGCATCGTCCGCCTTTAGATTTCAAACGCTCTCCATGATTTGAGCCTTTCCCTCTCTTAAAGTCGAGGCTCTTTAAGGGGTTCGGTGATCTCCTCCCCGATAATAGACTTTTCGCGTGCGACAGACGGCAGGCAACCTTGTAGATTTGGCCATGGCAGCCGGGTGTCCGGTGTCGTCTGTTTTTGGCGAGGTTAGAGCCGTACTATAGATACACTCTAGCGAGGTTAAGTCTGATTCTTTTTTTCTGTCTTGTTTGTGTTTGTCTTGTGTTATTTGTTTGTGTTATTATTATTTGGTATGTGGCTACTAAGTGTGTAAGCTAACATTACTTTTATTTGGTATGTAGTGACGTGATGCGTATTTCTACTTCGAGTCAGAAGTGTTCTGTCGTGTGCCAGCCACTTGCAATTATTTCTGGAATGTTATGCATATATAACTAAATATCGCAGCTTTAGGCACGTGTATAACGAAATATCAGTCTTGGGCGCACATGAAATTCAATATCTACTACAAAAAGGCCTGGCTAGAATATAACGAGAGCAAAAACATGACAGCACATCTTTTTGGCCTTTTAGCTGGGCGCCAGAGTCGCGAGCTAAAGGTTTCTCATTTTAATTGCACATCGTATATTTAGGAAGCTCAAACAACTCGTCAGCGCGCGCGGAGACGATGGCAGGAGCCCGTGTCAGCGTCTGTCAACGGTTTGCGCATTCTTTGCAACCGTTTGCGAGTCGCGACCCACCGTGTGGGAAACCCTGCAATAGAGTATGCCGTGTCCTCCTCCTCTCCACACGGGTCCTAAAATGACCTCGTATAAAAATTGGGTTGTGTGTGTGTTTATACAGCCTAGAACTTGGTCTGCCTCACAGGGGCGACGAGTCTCCCAGCTGTAGATGAGAAATTTAGCCAGTGCGGTACAGCCGCTAGCCTGGGGTCTTTAACGTGCACCACGCAGTAGTGATACACGACCGCACGCCGGTACGATGTTCATCCAGATCGAAACGGGCAGGGGTGGGGCTCGAGCCCAGGATCCCTGGGTTCTGCAGCGCGAGCTTTCGCTCCACGTGCTCCGAGCTGGTGTGCGCTAGACCACTCGGCCACCGATCCCTTTTTTTTTTCTTTTTTTTTTTCTTTAATAAATGGAAATTTACTAATAGCTATTCAGCCAAGTCCAACAGTACACACACACACAACACAAAAGGTCCAAAAGTCACAGTCCACCTCACACGCCATGGCACGTAGAGTCGCACCCACACACGCTAACCAATGGAGCACAGGCACAGGCCACCAGTCACCAGAATCTCACACGCGCGCACGTGAATCACGTGGGGCGACAAACACACATCTTTAGTAGTTCTGTACAAAGTAAAAGGTTACATTGGCTAGAATTTACCATTCACCCAACGCATAAACAGCGATATTTACATATTTACACAATCTAAAAGTGCGGTAGGTTTAAGCACGCGTCAAAGAGGCTAAACCAATCTGGCACCGGTGGGCGGGCCTCGTACACACTCCGCACTTTCGCTACCTCTTCAATGAAAAGCGATCTGGTCGTACGGGGCTGTTCGGCATTTCTGTCGATCATCCGGCACTTCCACAAACTATGCAGCCCAAGAAGCATAAATAAATCGTAAGGGACAACTTCATGTTGTTCAACGGGGAGAAATCGTATACTGTGGTCGGTGAAGTCGATATCCTTTTTCAGTGTTCGTTGGAGAACGTCCCAAAAATACACTGCGTCATTACAGTATATGAAGCAGTGCTCAATGGTTTCCGGTTTGTTGCATAATCGACAGTTAATAGACCATGGAACGAAAAACCCTCTTTCCTGTAGCCACGCTTTAACCGGAAGTGTGGAAGTGTGTAATTGAAAGAAAAATGTTTTTGCAGTAGGCGATACACACATCTTTTTAACTCTCTTCAAAACATCCTGTCCAGGGCTGTCGTTAAACCTTGATCTATAAATCGGTAGTGTGAAAAAATTTTCAACTAAGGCCCGAGACAAACATTTTCTAGAAACACTAAACAAGTATTCCAAAGAAAACCGGACATTTAAAAACAACAGCGTGTCTACAACTTCTTTCCAAAATCCTCTTAGAACACACGAAACGTCATCTGTCGTTGAAACAATCAAAAAGGGCAAATGCGGCGCTAGCTTCGTCTGAACTAGCGAGGCCAGTAGCGGGTGTCTGATATTCCTAAAGAAGAATAATCTAGACACAAGTTGACGGACAAATAAGTGAGCAAGACCCAACCCTCCACACTCAAGGGGGAGGAATAAATTGTCTCGTCTCATCCGTTCCCACGAGGAACTCCAAATGAAAGTCGCGAAAAGTCGATGGAACGCTTGTATACGTGGGCGGGCACAGTGGAGGACTTGTAACACGTACATAAGTTTAGACGTAAGGAAAATATTGCACACGGCAGCCTTAGTAAAGATGGATAGATTTCGCACCCTCGAGGCATCTATTTTCCGTTTGATGTTTGTGGCAACTGATGTCCAATATGGCCCACTGTTCCTGGCCTGATCTAGGGGTACGCCAAGGTATTTTATTGATGGCTGATTCCAGTGGATCCCTGCAAATTTGGATGGTGTGGTTCCCCACATGCCTAGCCAAAATCCGCTGGACTTATCGTTATTGACCGACGCACCGGTGACTGTGCAAAATTTCTGTGTTACGCGTAGAGCTTCTTCTACACTGTCTTTGTCGGCACAAAAAAAGGCAACGTCGTCGGCATAAGCCAACAACTTCACTTCGGAGAAACAATATTGGTACCCACGAATATTGAGGTTTGTCAGCACGCTCAGGCAAAGCGGTTCCAAGTATAAGGCAAATAGAAGTGGAGATAGAGGACATCCTTGTCTTACTGAAGACCTAATAGCAATCGGTTCGGAGAGAGTGTTATTAACTATGATCCTGGTGGAGCAGTCCTTATAACATAATTTAACGCCGGAGAGGATGGTGTCTCCGATATTGAGGTGGGCAAGGACTTGAAACAAAAATGAATGGCTGACTCTATCAAAAGCCTTTGAAAGATCGATTTGTACTAATGCAACTTGGTCATTGCCTTCAGTCACACAGTCGAGTACAGACCTGGCAATGTGCACATTAGTCTGAATCGTTCTCTCCCGTATTCCGCAAGTCTGGTGTTCTCCAATTAAGTTGTGAGCTACCACGTGAATTCTTTCGGTGAGTAATTTTGCAAATATTTTGTAGTCAACGTTACATAATGATATTGGTCTGTAGCCTGCAGCTTTTCTCAACACTGCTTCGTCTTTGCTCTTTGGTATTAAGACAGTGTGACCTTGGTAAAAGGTAGGCGGAAGCATTTTTTCTTTATATCCGACGCGGAATACATCGAGCAGCACTGGAGCTAATAAGTCAATAAATGTTTTATAGAACTCTGCACCCAGACCATCAGGACCAGGTGTCTTGTTCGCGGGTAGTGCGTTTATGGCATTTCGCACTTCTTCTAATGTTAGGTCACCGTCT